GAGGCGCCTGACCGGCACGGGATGCAGGTGGCCCCGCTGCGGGTAGCCCCGCAGGGTGACCACGTTCTCGATCGAGTTGCCGATTGGCATCTGGTGGAAGTCGGGAGTGAAGTAGCGCAGTGAAGTAGGAGAGAGCGTCTCGAGTTCGCGGGTTGCCCCGCTAGCTCGATCGCGGACTGGCTCCGCTCCTCGCAGAGCCGGCGCAACATGGTATTCCACCGTAGTAGTAGTCCACCAAGTTGTGCCGTGGATTACAGGAATCAGAGCGAGAGCCAGCCACACGAGAGTGTAGCCAGCTCCGCTACCAAGTCGAAAACAAGCTGGTAAGCTTAGGTATACAGTCCGCCTTAGGCGCTTCCATATCCCAGGCTTAGGCTCATAGCGCATGAGCAAGAGAGCGAGACGAAGCATGGGATCTGGAGTAAAGAGTAGGATGGGCATCGTCAATGGAAAAGGATGTTTTCCGATCTCGGATGCAAGTAGTGCGCCTCAGTGAGGCACAGTCACATATCTGGCCGGGCCCGGCTTGAGCCAGGCACGGCAGCGGTACATGCTCGATTTATATCTCGCCTTTAACCTTCTCCGTTTAAAGTTCCATACCTTCTGGACTCTCGTCGTCCCCCCCCCCGTCCCAGAGCTCTCCATATTCTCTAAGGACTCGACGATTGACTGTGTCTCTGTGTGCGTTTCCCTCCCGAAGGGTCGTCTGGTCGTGGGAGCCGGGGCCCCTGACTGGCCGCGTGCCGCCACAGGGGGCTCACCAGCCTGGCCTGCGCTGCCCCAGACGGAGAGCCGCAGGTCGAGCTCAACGCCCGGGATGGCGCGCGCAGCCGTCCAACTCGGATGCCGAATGTTAGGTCGTGCAGGTCCCCCTACAGGCGGATTGTGGGCGAGACATTAAACATACTTGTCCTACCCTTTCTCCTCCCTCCTGCCTCCTCCTCCTCCTCCTCCTCCTCCTCATCGACATTGTCGCCATACCCAGAACTCGAGAACTTCTCCTTGTCCTCCTCCTCCTCCTCCTACTCCTCCTACTCCTCCCCTTCCTCCTCCTCCTCCTCCTCCCCTTCCTCCTCCTCCTCCTCCTCCTCCTCCTCCTGTCACTCCCCATCCCCCTCCTCTTTTTCCTCCTCGTCCTCCTCCTCCTCCTCCGGCCCCCCTGACCGTCGGGCCACGCGGACAAACCGCATCGCGTGGGCGAGACATTTTCTAAGGGTAGCCTCGCATCCGCGGGAAGGGGGCGAGCGGGGGTCACGGCGAGTGTCTGTATTTTGCGTTCGTTGCCCCCCTTTGCCCCCGGCCATAGGGAGTGGGTGCCGAGCCCCGGCTTCAGCTTTGGGCGTCCAAGGGCCTCGCGCCCTTACCGCGCATCCTTCTGCGATCTGGTTGCGCTGCGTGACTTTGCAGGATCATAGCCCGTGGATTGCTGCTCGCGGCCCGGCGCAGCTTTGTTTGCGCAGCTGCGGAGCGGCAGACGCGCGCCAGCTCATTCTGGCCGTCCTCCTCGACGCTGCTGTTCCATGCCGCCCTCCTCCAGCTCCTCACTTCTAGAACCACCCAAGACCACCTGAAACCATACTCACCCCTTCCTTCCTCTTGTCCCCCACCACTCCCTCCCTCCCCCGTTCACCCCATCCCCTGCGCACCAGAGTTTCTGGAAACCCCTGAAACCAACAAGAATCCTTGGAAACGTCCCGAACATTGCCGAACATTGCCCCCTCCTCCTCTTGCTTCTCCTCCTCCTCCTCCTCCTCCTCCTCCTCCTCCTCCTCCTCCTCCTCCTCCTCTTGACATCCTCTTCCGCTCCTCCTCCTTCTCCTCCTCCTCCTCCTCCTCTCCTCCTCCTCCTCCTCCTCCTCCTCCTCCTCCTCCTTTTCCTCCTCCTCCTCCTCTTCCTCGTGCCTTGGAGATGTCCCCAAGAAGGCCTCTGCAGGCCCAGGACCCCAGAACGTACACAGAAGCGATCGCCAATCCTCCCGCCAACCCCACGCGCGCGGGTTATTACGAAACACCGGAGGAGGAGCGAGGAGGAGAAGGAGGACGAGGACGAGGAAGACGAGGAGGAGGAGGAGGCGTAGGCGGAGGCGGAAGCGGGTGGCAAGAAAGGAGGAAGGGAGGGAGGAAATAGTGGAGGAGGCAGTGAGGGGAAACGAGGGGAATGGAAGGAGGGAGGGGGGGCGAGAGATAGAAAGGGAGGCCAAGGCAGGGAGGGGGAATGGAATAAGGGAGGAAGGACGGACGGAGGGAGAGTGGGACCCCCCAGGGCTTGACGACTCGTTCCCGTTCGACTTGCGAAAACGGGGGCAGAAATATCGCAGGCATAACACAGGACGCCGTCGCCACTGGCGGCGGATGTGGCTTCGCGAGGTCGGCAGGACCGGACCGGCCCCATTCGGTCGGACATGGCGGTCATGACGTTCAGGGGCTGCGCGCAGCCTTTGTGCAACGCCGACCTCGTTCGCGCGAGTGTTCGAGCCACATGCCGAGGGCATGGCGCCTTTGAGTGCAGAGGACACGCGCTGTGGTGCCGAGCGGGCACGATTCGCCCGTCCACTGCTCCCACCCTCCTAGGGAGGGGAGAGGGCTTCTCAAAATGAGGCTGCTTCTTAGAAGGCGCTGGCTTTACATCTATAGCCAAGCCCCCGCGCCTTCGGAGAAGCAGAGGTGTTTCTAAGAAGACCCCCCCCTCCCCACACCCCTCTGCGCGTGGCTGAACCAGCGCCCCCGCCGCTTCCCGGAGGAAGCAGCAGGCCCCGGGCTTGCACTGGGCGCCACGCGCCATGCCCTGCGGGACGACAGCTGGGCCGCGGAGAGCAGCCGCGCAGAGCAGGGCCGAGAAGCACTCCTGGAGGAGACCCCCGCGCCCACCACCCCGCGCGCCGCTCCCCCATACCCCCCGGTTGGCCCAAAAAGGGCGGCCGCAAGCGCTTGCTGGCAACCCCCTGGGAGACCCCAGCCAAGATGCCGGGGGTTTTGCGCCAGAGCCCAACGCCCTTGAGCCGAGGGAGAGGAGGAGCAGGCGAAGGAGAAGGAGGAGGACGAGGAGGAGGAGGAGGAGGCTCAGGAGGAGGAGGAGGATGAGGATGAGGAGGAGGAGGAGGAGGACGAGGAGAACGACGAGGAGGAAGAGGAGGACGAGGAGGAGGAGGAGGAGGAGGAAGAGGAGGAAGAACAGGCCCAGCGGCGTGGATGAGGAAGGACGAGGAGGTGGCTCGCGCGCTGCTCCCTTGCTTCCCCGCAGCTGCTGTCTTCTCCTGTTTCTCTTTTCCCCTCCGCTGTTGGCTTCTTGTCTGGATACCCTTCTTCCTGGGCCCTCCTCCCGGCGCCGCCTTCTGCCCCCCGCGCGGTCCTCCCTCTTTCCTTCTGCCCTCGGCTGCCCCCTTCTGCTCCTGCCCGGCCTCTTCCCCCGCTGCCCACCGGCCCCCTGCAGCCCGCTGTCGAGCCGCGGCCGCAGCCACAGCCGCGGCCGCGGCTGGAAGAGGAAAACCACGGCGAACAAATCGCAATGTCTTGTCCGTTCCCAGCCGAAGCCGCGGCCGCAACCGCAGCCGCAGCCGCAGCCGCGGCTGGAAAACGAAAACCGCCTCGAAAAATCGCAATAGCTTCCCCATTCCAAGCGCGGCCGCGGCAGCGGCTGGAAAAGGAAAACCACTGCGAACACATCACATGGTTTCCCCCTCCCAGCCGCGGCCGCGGCTGAAAGAAGAAAGCCACTGCGAGCAAAATTCGCGATACTCCCCCCCCACCCACCCAGCCGCGACCGCGGCCGCGACCGCTGCCGCGGCTGGAAGAGGAAAGCCACGGCCAAAAAATCGCGATAGTTCCCCCTCTCTCCCAGCGGCCTCTTGGGCCAGTTGGAAAACTTCTTGGGCGGTCTGAGGCCCCTGGAGGCCGTCTTCGGGGCAATTCGGGGCAATCTTGGGCTGTCGGGAGGGCTGTCTGATCGCTCTGGGGGCTGCGTGGTGGCCCCCCCACCAACGGTCCCGGCCAGGAAGCGCCCCGAGAAGAGTCGGGACCCCGCCAGGACTATCAGGGAATCCGTGGGGAGAGAGCTTTGAAAAAGCGAGTCTGCTGGGGTCCGGGGACCCAGTTCACCGTGAATTGATATACGTAAACGCAAGGTCTAAGGCCATCATTCGGCGGTGGACAAGCCTCCCTTTGGTAAACCTCCCCTTAGTGAAAACAGCCTGGGACCGAAGCCGACGGACCTGGATCCGCCAAAATGAAGGCCGCGACGCCCTCTCGCTAACCGAAAACGGCCAATTCCTTAATCGACGTGTCAGGGTAGGAGGTCTATCCACCTCCGAATGATACCAGCACAATCAGTGCGCGTCCACTCGAAGCTTCTCGGTCTCACGTCGCTGGCGAGGAGGTTGATGAGCAGGGGCAAGGGCAGGGACAGGAGGGCGTGGAGTGGAGTGATGTGGAGTGGAGAGGAGGGACAGCACGAGCTGCCTGCTGTGCACGAGTGGACGCCCTGAGCCACACTCCGCCAAATCCGATGATAAAAGCAAGAGGGGGAGGCGAGGAAGAGGAGGAAGAGGAGGAGGGGGCGGAGGTGTTCATCCCCTCGGCAGTTCGCAGCAGCAGGAAAACGAAGAGGTGTTCTCATCCTCGTGGCAGCTTGCAGCAGCGGCAGCAGCAGCTTGGCAGGAATGGGTCTTCACCCTCTTGTTGCCGTCACTCGGACGTCCATCTCCCGTGCATCTTTCGGTGTCGTGCGTGTTCTTTTGGCTCGATGGTCCAGGATGGTCCTCGATGGTTCTCGCCGAGAAAAAATGCACGCGTCCGAGCGATGGGTCTTGGAAACTCGCAGCAGCAGAGAGCACGAGGACGAGGAAGAGGTGTTCGCCACCCCTGGGCGTGCGCAGGCAGCAGCTCCGGGATCAGCAGGATCAGCAGGGTCAGCAACATCAGCAGCATCAGCAGCAGCGGCGGGAGCAAGGCCCAGGGAGAGAAGCCGCCCCCCCCCCCCGCGGCGGGCGGGGCACGGAGCACGCCTTGGCGCTCCTCGACATGTCCCCGTGCCAGAACTTCATCACCTTCTCCACCTGGTCGGGGCATCGGGAGGGGAAAGAGGGGCGAGTAGGGTCGAGGGGTGATGCTGATGATGATGCTGCTGCTGATGATGATGATGCTGATGCTGCTGATGATGCTGATGCTGATGCTGCTGCTGCTGATGATGGTGATGATAAGGATGATGGTGCTGATCACGATGGTAATCTGGCTCCACGAATGATTAGGGATGACATTGTTGCAGGATGTGCATTTGATATGCGAGCGACAGGCGCTGCAGTGCAGAAAAAAAAGAGAGGGACAGAGACAAGGCGACAGGGAGACAGAGAGACAGACACAGAGACCGCCGCGGGATGAGGTGGGCGAGGAGGAGGGGAAAAGGAGGAGGGGGGAGGGACGAGGAGGGAAGGAGGGCAAGGGGTGAGGAGGGCAAGGAGGAGTAGAAGATGAAGGGGGGGAGACATGGGTTGCTGTTTTTTTAGAAAGGCACCGGAACACTTTTTCGGGGAGCTCTGGGACTGTCTCGGGGCGACTTCTCGCCTCCCCGAGTTGGGAAGAAGCGGGTGCGGCAGGTTCGCGCGGCGTCGGCGCGCGCACAGGTTCGCACGGCGTCGGAGAGCGCGCGCACGTCGATCGTTCAACCTTGAATCGATCGCGGCCCCGATCGTTCAAGATTGAATTCCGTCGGGTCCACAGGCGTTCCCGTGTCCACTGGTGCTTCCGCGGCGCAGAATTCGGCCCTGCACGACTTCGCCGTCGACGCCGGCGGGCCCACGCCGCACGAACCGATGGTGGGAAGGGGCGCTTCCCAGGCTCGCAGAGGAGGAGGAGGAGGAGGAGGAGGAGGAGGAGGAGGAGGAGGAGGAGGACGAGGAGGAGCAGCTCCCAGGCAGGATCTCGCGGCGGCCCGTTCAACGGCGCGCCAGGAGGAGCCGCGTGCCTGCTTCGAGAGGCGCGCCGCGGGTGCCCGCGAGCAGGAGCACGCGAGGCCTCCGGGCCTGCCGCGCACGCCTCACCGCGCGCGTGGGCTGCGCCGTCGAACGCGGCAGAATCGGGGAGGCGTAAGACTCGGGTTCGGGAGACTCGCTGGCCATCGCTCGGACGTCCATTCCCTGTGTTTTTTGGGTTTCGTGCGTGGCTTTATCGCCAAATGATCAAGGATGCTCCTCGATGGTCCTCGCCGAAGGAAAACAGCACACGTCCGAGCGATGCCAAGCTCGGGTTGGCCCCTCACGGGGACATTTCAAACATGACGAGACCCAACCTGAAATTTGACGCGAGCCCCCGCTGCAAACATCCCACGAAAGCTGGACCGTCACGATCCAAAACGCGCTCGTCAAGAAACGTCGGCAAACTCGAGTTCCGGCTTACTCGAAGCTTAGGCTTCCCCGAACCACGCGCGTGGGCTGCACCGGCGAACACGGCAGAAAGACGGTGGCAAGCGCGGAGGACGATCCGCCTCGAGCTCATCCCGCTCCCTGATGTTGGCGGCAACCCGAAAGGCAACGACGAGCGTGGAGCTGCGCCCTCGGAAGCTGAGGGGATCCTTCAGATCAGCACCGAGATGAGGCGATGCTGATCCTGGGGACAGGGACATGCTCCGGGCCGGTGAGAGGAACCGCTCATCGCCGAGCGCCTCCGAAAGCGCCTCAGCACGGGCACTTCTTCCCTACTAGCGCTTCGCCACAGAAGTGCTAACAGTGTTAGGTCGGGCCTGTCCTCCTGCAGGCGGATTTTGGACGAAACATAAAAAATCCGCCGACCCTTTGGGGTCACGGCGTGTGAGATGTCCCCCCCTCCCCAAACCTCTCCCCAAGAGGGCTGGTCCGGCCGGTTTGGAGGTGTGGAGGGGGGGGGGGGGGGGGCAAATCCGTCATCCGCACACTTGGAGCCCCAGGAGGCCCCAAAACAAGCTAAAAAGGTTCGGAAGGTTCCCGGAACGGTCCAAGAGAGCTGCGAATCGACGAGATATCGCCCCAAAACGCCGAAGATTCCCTCCACGCGGCTCCGTAAGTCCCCAAGACGTTTGAAGCAATATTACGAGGCGCCCCAAAGAGGCCCTCCAGAAGCAAAACTCGTCCCATTTCCTGGGGCAAACGTGCATTTTCACCACAGTCGCCCATTCGGCTTCCACGCGGCGCAAAACGGCCCAAGAAGCCTCCAAGATCGACCCTCGCCAATCCAAAAGGCTCCCAAGAAGGCTCCAATCCGGGCGATCCACGAAGGCCCCAGAAACCACAGCAACGGTTTAGGAAAGCCGCAAGACGGTCCGGGGCCCGGCTCCCTTGGCAACCTCCCGGGGGGTCCCCTTCGGCGCCTCCTTTGGAGAACCCCCCCCTGGGCAACTCTCGGCACCATGGCGCCATCCTTTGTGTCCTCCTACCTGCGTTCCTATGTATATTTTAGCTTCTTCGTTGTCCCTTTTCCGCCTTCCTTTCCCTTCGTAGTTCTTCGGATAGCGCAACAATTGGCAGTGTGCCAAGATCCTCAACACTTGTAACACGTGGACCCGATACCTTTGTCTTTTCCTTTGCCTGCCTTATTCGCGTCGCCATTTCCGCTCGTGTCTTCCCCACTCCAAATCTACGAATTTCCACTTTCGTCATAGTAGCCGGAAACCTTTGCGCTTGTGCCTCTCCATCGCTGACTTGTCCAGTCTCCAAGGGTTCGTTGTGCTTGTTTTGTCTGTCGATGGTGAAGGGTTTCTGGTAGTGGCGTCTTGAAGCAATCCTGTTGCCAGTCGTCGAACCTTTCGCCGGCGTGAGTTCTGATAACCCTCAGCGCGGTAACCCTGAATGGTCGTGGACACGGGCATGCGGGCCCGAACTGATCCAGGGACTCCACCAACGCACTCCACTGCTCGAGCTGGGTCTCCACATCGTTCATCTTCTCGGGGTTCTCAGCGTTCATGGCCAAAATTATTGTGTGGGAGCGTAATTCCGGTGACGGCCGAATGCATTTCGCATGTTCTATCGTATGCCAGTCGGCCAGCGCCTGCATGCAGACCCTTAAGCTTTTTCAGCGAGGCTGCGTGCCCTCCAACCTGTCGTTCAACAAATGCCAAGGAGGCCCTCGGCGTAGCCACCTTCGTAGCACTCATATTGCGAGCGTTCTCTCATTCATTGCTTTGCCGATGGGCGCGGGCCCACGCACCCCTTCCCCTCCCATGTGAGCGTTTTTCTTACTCGGCGTTTCGACATTGGGCGGAATGGGGGGGAGGGGGGGGGGGCTGGCTCTGGATCTCTGCTTAGTGCGACTGTTTGCAACAATGCGTCCTATGGGGGGGAGACTCCACCCGCTCGAAACAGGCGACCCCAAATTGCCAAGATCTACTCCAAGGGGGGGGGGGGGGAGGGGGGGTGTTCGAGGGCCCGCGCCGATCGGCAAAACAACTAATAAAAAACGATCACCTTCCCCTCCCATCTTGGCTGTTTCGAGCGCCTTTTTCTCAAGCAGGTGAAATGTCCCCCGCAGGACGCACTGTTGCAAACAGTCGCGTTCAGCAGAAGTCTGGAGCCAGACCACCCCCTGCCTTCTGGCCGGGACAACCCAAAGGAAGAGGAGGGGAGGAGGAGGAGGAGGAGGAGGAGGAGGAGGAGGAGGGGGAGGAGGGAGGGGGAGGAGGAAGATAAAGAGGGTCTGCCTCGGTTCCGTCCAGGCGCCCCAGGCCTGCTCTGGCTGCGGTGCGCGCAGCCCGAAGCCTCACCAGGGAGAGCCCTCTCACGTACCTTCCTCCCAGGAGCTCCCCCCCAATGCTGGGCGCCCCGCACCTTTGCGCGCCTCACCCTGTCGTCCTGCAGGCTGCGCACGGTCTCCTCCGCCGCGGGCCGCCGTGGGGGAGGGAGGGGCAGGAGGAGGAGGAGGAGGAGGAGGAGGAGGAGGAGGAGGAAGGGACATAAGAGGAGCATGAGGGGAAATACTTGAGATTTTGTCGTGGATTCGGAGCCCACAGGAGGAGGAGGAGGAGGAGGAGGAGGAGGAGGAGGAGGAGAGAAACCTAGACAGAGCAGGAGCAGGAGGAGCGAACATGAAGAGCGTGGGTAAGACGGCCTATGGGATTGCGGGAAGCTATGGGGCCCGCCTCATGCAGCACACGCTAAATTGCACCACATGTTTTGGCGCAACACCCAGAACTCCCCTATGCCACCAATACATACGGACCTGGTGCCCGATGTACATCGCAGCCTCGCGCCATAGACCAAGGGGGCCGCAATCGAACTCAGGTTAGCCCGAATAGGCTCAAATATGTAGCACGGTCATGGCCCGAGAAGCCTGGAAGACGCCTTCACATACAATGCACAGACGGCGCCGTACGAACAACTTAGTAACCTAAACGCTCGTCTGGTGGCAACGATGCTGTCCCCCCAACAAGAGCCACGTAACTATAAACCAAGAGGTATTCGTGGCGAGCACCTGCAACCGAATTAAACACAACGATTGGGACCAAACTGAAAACGCTATGCACACGCACCACTGCAAACTATACGGAAACAACGAGTTTGCGGGCATCGCAACTTGCACAAACAATATTTCCTGTTGGAGTCAATGAGGAAGGGGGCAAAATGCAGCAGGGGACGCAATGAGTGCAGTGGAGAAGAGGAGAGGAGAACAAGACGTGGAGGGCCAAGCAATCCATCGGCCGCGCGGCTGGGACAGCGGAGGAGAGGGGAGCAAGAGGGAAAGAGAAAGAGGGCAGGGCCGATACCGAGGAGGTGTGAATGTTGACAATTGTCTCATTTCTGGGAGGGGAATTGCAAACGTTCTTAAACCGTGCTGCGCACGTGCAGAAAACGGTCTCAACCGAACAATTTCGATCGCTGGTCCAGGGGAGGCGCGCTGCCCGCTGCAACGTGCAGCCTTCCTTTTCTGCAATTCATTTTGTCGTCTCCTGCTTAGCTGCTAGTGCTCCCGGGTAGACGATCATGCAAACAGAGCATTGCGAAACAGACGCGGGAACTATGTGTTGAATACCGACCATGGGAACTATGACAAATCACTGGCTCCGAAAGTTTACGTTGAACACGATACAAACAACAACGAATTGCGGCGAAGACCTGTAGACGATATGCAAGAAGAACGCCAGCGGACAACAATGGGACACACTAAGTTTGAGGCGAAATCCGAAAACTATGCACGAACAACACCAAAAAGCGTTGCCAACAAGCACTGCACGCCACTTGACATCGACAGGCCACGACCAACGCGGCGGCCAGACAACGGAACAAAAACATGTCAACGCTATCAAATACCAGAGAGGGAAGCACTGTCGGGGAGAAGCACGCATCTAGGCCGCGCCACGAGGGCGGTCGCACTCCAAATGCCACTCGTGAGCTGTCGCGGTCCAGATCAGCATCAAATGACGACACACAACTACATGCATTCGGTGGGCGAGGGGAACGGGATGGCTACAAGAGGAAACCGAGCCCCTAGGTGGCTCGATACTCTTCCGCTAATCCACGCCCCCTCGATCCATGTTTGCGATCGCCTGGGTTGTGGGCTGTGCGGAGCTGGTGTCCGCGGCCCCCCTCCCCCACGGACAAGCTTCTTGTACGAGAGCCGCGCCCGAGCACCGTACCACGTTTGGACTTCCTTCGGGCTCCGCTCCAACGCGGTGCGGTGCACAAGTTTCCGGCCCTGAAGACCGAAGAACCGTGCCACAAGGGACACCCCTTGGTCGAGGAGGGACGACGCCCCGGGCGACGCTGATGCGGTACGGTTTGCATGCAATGCCGTCCGCGGATCTTGAGAGTGGGGTTCCTTCGCAAGCATGCAGTCTTGGTCTGCTCAATCACTGCCTTCGTGCAGTGCTGGCGTCCCCACGCACTGCCCGGGCCCACAACGACTGGTGTCGTGGGCCTCGGAGGTGTGTCTGCCTAGCTCGGGGGGCCTCTTCAGGCTTCCCGACAACTCCTCTGGCCCCGTAATCATACCTCACTCCCCCCATCTCCCCAATCCCTCTCCACGGTTTCTTTCTGCCCATCCTCACTTCCCTCCTGCTCCCTCCCCACTTCCCACCGCTCCGTGTCCCCACCATTTCATCATCCCAGGCCACCCCCATCCATATGCCCCTTCACATCCCAGTCCCCCCCTAAATGCCACTCCTCTCGCTCCGCCAAGAACCCCCCTCCTCGTTCTCAAATCCCCCCTGTTTCCCCCCATAGGCTTTGGGGCCAAAACGCGGTCCATCGGCATTGACGCAGCGATTCAAAACTGCCGTCGAGCTGGCGCCGCTCGGAGGGCCCGTCCAATCGAAACTCTCCGCAGACGTTCGAACAGGTGCGGGATCCCTCCTGGTCGTTTTCCTCAGCCTCCTCATCCTCGTCATCCTCCTCCGCGTAAATGCTGATGGCTGGTCTGCCAAATGGGATTGGAGCAATGGGTGTTCCTTCCCTTCCCGGCCGCCTCCAGGAAGGGAGGGCAACCCTTATTACGGCGAGGTTGGGTTCATCCTTCTTGTGGGGTTCCCAACACGAGCGAGTGACAGTCAGTGCGGAGACCCCGGAATTCCCACAAACCTCACCGCATGGTCCGTCGCCGCAGAAGTTCGGGACCCTGGAGGCCATAGTGGCCGAGACGTCCTCGGAGAACTATCCAAACTGCGCGGCCACGCCCAATCCACACTGATTTACCACGCGGTGTGGTCACCACACCGATTGGGGATCCCCGATCCTCCTCTTTCTCCTCCTCCTCCTCCTGCTCCTCCTTCTCATCCTCCTCTTCCTCCTCCTCCTCCTCGCCCTCCTCCTCCTCCTCCTCCTCCTCTTCCTCCTCCTCCTCCTCCTCCTGAGTCACGCCGCTTTCGGTGCATAACTCGGGTCGCTGGCGGCCGTTCGAGGCGGCCCAAGCACCCTCACAGCAAGCACCCCTGAAGCGTCCTCGTCGAGGCGCGGCAGCTGAAACGCGCCCCGAGGTGGGAAAACTGTCGATAACCAGCGATACTGTTAGGCTGGGCATGTCCGAAATCCTCAAAACATACCCCAACATAGCCAAACAAAGAATGGACAAATCATCCCCGAACTATTTTTCCTATGTTGAAATATGTATTCCCAGAGGGACATGCCCGACTTAACGATGCCGTCCGACAAAATTCAACCCTCGCCCCCCTCCCGCAGCCTGGCGGGTCGCGGCCGCAACATGTTGGGGCGCGCGGCGCGGTCGCCTCGGACTGGGCCTTCCAGGCGCGGAGCACGATGCGGGCCTCGGAACATGAACAAGGGGGGAGAGAGGGACGAAGAAGGGCAGGGTAATACGTGGATGATGATGAGGATGATGGCGATGATGATGATGGCGATGGTTACTCGTATGGTGATGGTGGTGATGATGAGGACGATGCCGATGCTCATGCCGATGATGATGGTGATGTGGACTATGCTGATGGTGATGCTGGTGGTGATGACGGCGATACCGATGATGCTGCTGATGGTGATGCTGATGATGCTGATGAGGAAGAGAACGATGATACTGATGGTGATGATGATGAGTCTGCGTATGCAAATTGTGATGGTGCTGATGAAAATGGCGGTACCGAATTTTTTGAATGACCAACGCAAATGCGGGCATCACTGCGCAAATGGTCTTAAGTAAGACTTCGTCGGCGCGCGCCCAAGGACCCCCCCAACAATCCAGTCTTAAGTAACCTTTCGTCGGGCGAAAAGAACGGCTGCTGCGGCACATGTGGATTACCTACCGGGCCAACGCCCAAATGGAACGAGAGAGACAGAGAGAAACAAACAAAAAAACGAACGGGCCAACATCGGGCCGCAGCTAGATGGCCGGAGGGGCGGGGAAGGGAGGAGGAACGAAGGAACACGAGGAGGAAGAGAGACAGGATTGGCGCTCAGAGCGAATGAGCAACCAGACGTAACAATCATCCCCTGGCCGCAGCGTTGCCGAGTGGACGCCGGCGCATTGCGCTACGCGCGGGAAAAGAGGAGGGCAGGACAGGTCATGACATTCGCAATGAGGGGGTCAACGTCAATGCGCCCGCTAAGGTGCACTGTAGAGCGTATGCGTAATTCCCCTGCGTGGGTGTTAGGCAGCAAGGACTCAACAGCCTTTTAACCACACCCGCAGCATGAACTCGGGGTGCCGGAAGACGTAGTCGGGAATGCGCCTCTCGTCTGGGTGGAGACGCTGCGGGAGGGAGCGGGATGCAAGCACTGGCCTCTGCGCTGACAACGGGCTTCCCACTCCAGCGCCACGGAACGGATAGATCCTGTCCAACTGGACCGGCGAATGCGCGGGTGGGCTCGGGCTGGGGTATCTCGACCTTGGCGAAGGGAGCGCCGCACACCTCCTGGGAAGCGCTTCTCCTCATACTTTGTCCCTCCTGCCCGTGCAGACTGCCGATGTCGTGGCGAAGCTGTTGAACTCGTCCGCCACACAGATAAATAAGTGAGGTCGCCCCCCAAACACCGTCAACGCCGAAGTGCGCGGCGCAACCGCGCGAGCCAGCCGAGCGCGCAGGCAGCGTCGGAGCTCCGGGAAGGAGGGCGACGCCCCGACCTCCGCACCCAGAGCGCCGAAGATAGGTGGAAAACAAACCTACCTCGCTTTTGACCACCCTCGCTTCCAAGAGATACCAAGCGATGCCAAACTACGGCCTGTACTGGTCAGGCCGCTTGACGAGGAGGCGCGTGGTATGACTTGGTTCTTCCTGGAAGCGAAAGCGGGGTAGGTAATTCACGCTCTGAGAAGAAGTCGCGACCGTGCGGCCTGTCGCCCGTCGGGAGATTCGCCACGAGAAGGTCCAGCGCGCCCTCGGGCCCTCTCAGGTCGAGCTTGGCAGCCGCCCCAAACCGGGTGCGGGTCGACGCGAACCGGCAGCTCGTCCTTGATGGGGATCGGCGACTCCGAAGGGTGTGGTTTGCGAAGGGTGTGGTTTGCAACCGGCACCCTGAGGGGCACCCTGGGGAGCGGGCGAGGAGCTCGACAGAGCTCTCCGCCGCGCCCCGAGGAGGCCCGACGAGGACAGTGTCGTGCCCCCCAGGCCCCGACGCTGCCGATCGCAAACCACACTCTGGCGTACCCACACCCTTTGGAGTCGCCGAGGGGAGTCCGGCGCCCGCGTGGCTTGTGGCAGCCCCAGGGGACCACCACGCTGAGGTGCCAATCGGAGGGCGCCAGACGCTGCGAACCCCAGCCGTACCGCGCGCCTCCGTGATCATGACCACCTGCGCGCGGCCGAGCAAGAACTGCACGAAGTCGCACTCAACTTCATGACGCCCGGGTGCCTGCGCGGACAAGGCCTGAGCGTTCCAAAGGGCGACAGAGATTCCCCTCGGTATTGCCCGGGCCGCCGCCCGGTGTCCGCCGTGGACATCGGTGGGGAGTTTCTGCGAACAGGCGCCACCATCAAAGTCATTGTCGTGGGGAGCGCGCCCAGGGCGCGGCGGACCCGTAGAACGTAGAACAAGCTGGTCGGTATGTCCGTGTCGGGGGCGCCCTGGTGGCGAAAACAAGCCTGACTACCAGGGATAAGAGGGCGAAGAGGGGGAATGAGACGGTCTTCGAGAAATTGATGGTTGCCATTGGCATGCGTCGAGCGTGAATTCGACGAGTATGGTGACCACGGCGTGCCGGAAAGACTCCAAGGCGACCCAGCCCCGCTCGGCGCCACGGCTGTGGCGCGGAGGGAGAATACGACCTCACAGATCAAGCACTCGATGTGGTCGCAGGTCAAGCATCGAATTGCGCCCCAGCCCTCCAGCTGGGACATGTCTTGGTCTGCTGCGGGGCGAAGGTGGGCTAGGCCCTCGCCCCCCTCCCATTTCCCGCCTGGCCAATAGCGTCTAGCACATCGTTGTGCACGGCGATCCTGATGGAGTCGCCGCCCACGAGGATGACCTGGCCATGCAGTCCAGCACGCAGCCGACGAACCTCCTCACGGCTCCGAAGGAGGAGGCGGATGCGCCCAGGCGGGGCTTACGTAGGGGTCTCGGGCACGGAAGGCGGAAAACTCGCCCGGGCGGAGGCCCCATGGTTCCGTGGACGCCGTCACCGCGATCACAATCTGCGTGGAGACATGCTCCGTGAGCATCGCCAGCACGTTAGAATCCTGGTTGCCCAACTCCCCCTTGACGATGATCTCGGTCAGGTGCTCCGTGCCGCTGGCCCCCTTCCCTGCTCACCAACATCGGTATCGCCATCACGATGATGACGGTACCAGTGCTGGTGGTGATGATGATGATGATGATGATGATGATGATGAGGATGCGCCAGATGTTGTTGTTGATGCTGATACCGATGCTGAGAATCGTAATGATGATGCTGGTGATGATGCTGATGATGAGTGTGGTGATGGTAATGTTGATGATTACGATACTGATGCTGATGCTGATGATGAGTATGCTTATGAGGATGGTGATGATGATGATGATGATGATGATGATGATGATGATGATGATGATGATGACACTGGTGCTGATGCTTATGATGATGATGATGAATGTGATGGTGATGATGGTGATGATGGCGATGATGACGATGATGGAGATATCGATGCTGATGCTGATACTGGTGATGTTGGTGAGTATGATGGTGGTGATGATGACGATACCGATGGTGATACATACGATGATCGTGATGCTGATTACGATGCCGATGATGTTGCTGATGATGATGACGATACCGATGCTGGTGATGATGATGACGATGATGATGGCAACGACTCTTACAATGATGATGACAATGATGCTGATGATGATTATTATGATGATGACGATGATGATGCTGTTGCTGACGATAACGATACATATGTCGATGATCATGATGCTCATGCTGATGGCGATTACGATGACGATGATGATGGTGATGATGCTGATGGAAAACGATGGCGATGACGATGATGATGATTATGACGACGACGATGACGATGACGATACTGATGATGATGCTGATGATGGTGATGATGACGATGATGATGCTGACGATAAGTACAATGATGATGACGCTGACGCTGACGATTTCGATGCTGGTGTCTATGCTGCTGACGACGATGATGATGACGGTGAAGATTACGACGATGACGACGAAGATGACGATGATGCTGATGACGATGTTGATGGTGAAGATTATGTTGACGCTGACGCTGACAATGACGATGCTGATGCTGTTGATGATGATGGTGATTATGATGGTGATGATGGTGAGGATGATGATGCTGGTGATACGTAATGATGGTGATGATGGTGATGGTGGTGTTGATGATGATGTCGATGATGGTGATGATAATGGTGATAATGAGGATGATGATGATAATGGTGATAATGGTGATGATGATGATGATGATGATGATGATGATGATGAGGATGATGATGATGATGGTGTTGGTGATAATGATGATGATGATGCTGCTGATGATGATGACGAGCACGACATCGATCATGATAATGTCCTCCTCTTCTGTCAGTTTCCTCCGAGGCCGGGCAGCTCCCCAGATCCACTGCCTCCACCTCTCCTTAAAGAAAAACACCCATTCCTAGTTCCGTCGTTTCGAAATTCCGATCACTTCCAAGTCCAGCCACGAACTGAAAATGGAAGGTGCCGCCGCGCAGGCTTGCCCCGACGCGCGGGAATGTACTCCACGGGTGCCTGCTCCTCCTCCTCCTCCTGCTCCTGCTCCTCCTCCTCCTGCTCCTGCTCCTCCTCCTCCTCCTCCTCCTCCTCCTGCTCCTGCTCCTCCTCCTCCTCCTCCTCCTCCTCCTCCTCCTCCTCCTCCTTCTCCTTCTCCTCCTCCTCCTCCTCCTCCTGCTCCTCCTCCTCCTGCTCCTCCTCCTCCTGTGTGTGCGTGCTGCCGCGGGCACCCCGCACACACACACACCACACACACACACACACACACACACACCCACACCCACACCCACCCCACACCACACCACACCCACACCCACACCCACACCCACACCCACACCCACACCCACACCCACACCCACACCGACATACACCCACACCGACACACACCCACACACCCACACACACACCCACACACCCACACACCCACACACCCACACACCCACGCACCCACACACCCACGCACCCACGCACCCACGCACCCACGCACCCACACACCCACACACCCACGCACCCACGCACCCACGCACCCACGCACCCACGCACCCACGCACACGCACGCACACACACACACCAGCAGAGAAGCAGTGCTTGCGGTCTTGGCCGCCAGGGCGCGACGCCCTCGCTGGGCTCGAGGCCGCCTCCCTGGGCCGCGCCGCGGCGGCCGAGGCCGCGCCGCTGCCCGAGGGGCCCGCCGCCGCTGCTCGAGAGGGACCCTCGCCGATTCCTCCTCCTCCTCCCCCTCCCTCCTCCTCCTCCTCCTCCTCCTCCTCCTCCTCCTCCTCCTCCTCCTCCTCCTCCTCCTCCTCTGCCCGAGGGGCCCGCCGCCGCTACTCGAGAGGGGCCCGCCGCCGCTACTCGAGAGGGACTCTGGCTGGGAACCCAGGGACAGCAGGGCTCCCGGGGACGGCCGCCCGCGGGCCCCAAGGGCACATGCCCCCAAATCTCGGGGAGACCAGCCGTCCCCGCAAGCCGGGCACGGGTGTCCCCGCAGGCTCCCTTCCGGAGGGCCAGCCAGCGGGCAGTCAGCGGCAGGCAGCAGCATCCATTTGCCCCTGAGCCTCTGTTGGCCCTACGAACGCATTCATTTCAAATTCCTGCCACGAATGATGGATGAAATGTGATGCCGAGGCGGGGGGATGTCATACATAAATTTGGCATGAGTACTCTATACGTCCAGGAGCTGTGGGAGTTCATCAAGATGCATGCGACCCCCGCAAGCGCGGTGTGTCCCCCTTCGCCGTCGTCTCGTCTTTCCCTCTCCGGCGCTCGCTGGCCAATCAGACTCGAACGCCGAACATGCCCAGAGGGGAAACCCCGGGACCACCTCCTCCTGGCCTTCTCGTCCTGACCCCCCCTCCTCCCTCCACCTTCCTCCTCGTCCTGACCTCCAGGTCAGGACGAGGAGAAGAAGGCACCTGCCATTTGATTCGAACCAATCCAACAATTTGACTTGACCCATACCTGAGTATCGTTTAACCGATCCCCATCCCCAGCGGCGTGACCTGGGCCCCACTGGCCGATTTACCCCCCTAGATGGGGATACAGGCCGTTCCTTTCGGGTTTCGAGGGGTGTAGCCCCAACTGGGGGGTAACTTGGTGTGGGTGTCAAAGGGGATGAGGATGGGGATACGGATTGGTGCAACGATACCGAGGACCGAATAGGCCGACCCGGACCGCGATCTGAACCAAACCAGCCGAACCACCCCCGAAAGCATGCCGACCAGACCGAACCGAACCAAACCCGGGCCATCATGCCTCCTCCCTGGATCTCCTCCTCGCTCCCTCCTGCCTCCTCCTCCTCCTCCCTCCTCGTCCTCCTCCTCCTCCTCCTCCTCCTCCTCCTCCTCCTCCTCCTCCTCCTCCTCCTCCTCCTCCTCCTCCTCCTCCTCCTCCTCCTCCTCCTCCTCCCTCCTCCTCCTCCTCCTCCTCCTCCTCCTCCTCCTCCTCCTCCTCCTCCTCCTCCTCCTCCTCCGCACTCCTCCTCCTCCTCCTCCTCCTCCTCCTCCTCCTCCTCACTCCTCATCCTCCCCCTCCTCCTCGTCCCTCTTCGCTCCTCTTGCCCCTCCTGCCCTCTGGCCCCGGCGTGGGGTCGAGAGGCGGCCTGGGCCTTGCCGTCGTGCACTAGGCAGCCGATCGCCTGCGGAGGCGGCACTGGTGCCGACGCTCCTTCGAGGAGCCTTCGCCGTCGCCGCCGCCTCCGCGGTCGTCGCCGCCGTCCTCGGCGTGGCAGTCGCCCTCGCGGCCGTCGTGGCCGCAGTCGTAGGCGGCGCAGTCGTCGTCGTCGTCGCGGACGCCGCCGCTACCATCCCCGTCCTCGCCGCAGCCGTCGTCGCTGCGGTCCACGTCGCCCTCGACCGAGGAAATAGGTTTTCATGATGTGTTTTAGCACGGTGTTACCCTCCCTTGGCCGCGGGGGCGCCCTCTCCGTAGCCACGTCTGGGTCCGCTTCGCAATTCTGTCATCACGAGCTCGCTGAAAGGTCCAGGGCGTCGAGGGATTCGTCCTTGACGTCCTCTTCGTCCTTCTCGCCCCCCTGGTGCGCCCGATCGTGCTCCTGGACTGGATAATGATAGTGCGTATCATCATCTGTATGCCCCTGCTCATCATGTTATTTCACTCCTACTGCTGCTGATCCTCCTTCCCCATGGTGCTCCTCCTTATCACGATAATGATGATGCTCGTCGTCGTTAGTGTCCTCCTCCTTCTCCTCTTGCCTTCCATCATTGCCCTCCGCCTCCACCTCCGCATCATCATGTCTAATGCATTTGCTCGCCATTCGTATCGTCACCCTGCGCATTATGGTGTTCCTCCTCCTCCTCCTCCTGCGACTTCACCCTCTGTTCGTCTCCTTTCCTCCTGCTCCTGTCCTGTCTTGATGTGTTACTCCCACCCCCACGCTGCCACTCAGATGGCCGACAGCGGCCCAGTCCGAGGCGCCCCGTCCTACCTTCAGGGGAACGTAAGACCTGGGTACAGGGGACTCGGAAATCCCCGACGAGGTCGTCAAAAAAATGACGAGGCCGAGCCTGCATTTTGACGAGGCCTCCCGCTGCAGACATCCCACGAAACTCCTCCTCGTCAAATTCCGAGGCGCGGTCGTCAAAAAACGATGGCGAACCCGAGTCCTGGCAAACCCGGGTCTTACGCTCCCCCGGTACCTGTAAGGACAAACATTACCAGCCTCGAACGTATCCGTATCCCTAAGATTGACACGCCAAAGGGCGATGAGAGTCTTTGGGATCCGCCCTCAAAAAGTAAGGGAATCCCTAAGACTGGCATCGTGATGAGGAGGTGCCCAGCACAGGGATAGGGATATGCTCCAGGCTGTTTTACAAAAAAAAGCCTACGATCTCCCTCTCAACAGAGACGGCCTGACGTCGGCGCTGCAAAAATGCGTGGCGGGAGCGGGACGGGGCGCGCAGCGTGTGCCCAACGGGCGTGGCGCTCTCTCCTGCTCGCGCGGGAGCGGCAGCGGCGGCGGGGCCGCGCGCGGGAGCGGGCAGGCCACAACGCCTCGCCCGAGAGCGCCGCGCAGCCTGCGTGTGGCAAGGGGTCTGAGCGCTTCCTCTGAAGGGGCCCCAGGACACACACATGACTACACACACATAAAATGGTTCCCCATATTTTCCCATATTCTCTGGGTTTCTGTCTCCCCCCCCACTTCCCAGCTTTTCCCATATTTTCTGGCGAATCGAGGATTCATTGTGTCTGTGTGTTTCTTTCCCCCCTCCTCCCCCCGCGCGGCCGCCCTCATCTTGCGTCCTCCCTCTTTGCACGCCGGACGGTTCGCCTTTCGGCTGCCCCGAATCGCCACACGCTGGGGCGGACTGCCTCTGCCTCGCCGTCGACAAAAAGAGTGTGTGAGTGTGTGTGTGTGTGTGGAAAGGGCAACGCTGTGTCAGCGCGACGCATGCTTCGTGTTCGCCGCGCTCATCGGAGCTTTGACCGCACGGGAGAAGGCTGGCTGGCGCTCTGCCAAAACGCCGCGTCACGATGTTCGCTCATGCTGCGCTCCTGGGCGTGCACGGCCTGCGCTTTTTTCTCCTCGCCACATCGTCGGAAGCGGGACCGCGCGCGAGCGACGAAGGGCGGTGGGAATGGGCCGGGGCCGCTGCCGCGTTCGACCTGGCGAACTTCAATCCCGCCCCTACTCCTCCTCAGCCCATTCTTCATTGCCGTTTTCTTCCTCATCCTCCTCAACCTGCTCTGTCATAATTCAGCCAGCTGGTCGGAAAAGCGTTCTGAGCCTCAAGGGCTCAGAGCGCTTCCTCTTCCAACCTCCCTCGCCCCATGCGGGCAGAGGTCTGCCTTCCCCTGACCCACGCTGAATCCCCCCCCCCTCAACGACATTTGAACATACGGGGCACAAGGCTGAGACACAGCGCGAGCAAGATAGACGGGGCGAGAAACCAGAGGAATGAGACCATCATCCAGAGGACACGGCAGACCAGCACGGCAGACCAGCACGAGAGATCAGCACGGCGGACCAGACCAACACGACATACCAGACCGGAGGGGTCCAATGCCTTGGGGACGTCTTGGGCACGTCTTGGGTGGACGTCTTGGGGGCGCCTTGGGGACCTTGGGGGCCTTCTTGGGCGGGCCTTGTCGGCCTTTTCGAAGCACGGGATGGCCGGAGGTTTTCTTGGGGCTCTCTAGGGACCCTCTTGGGGGGCGTCTTGGGGGCCTCGGGGGCCGTCTTGGGCTCCTCTGGTGCGCCTGAGCCTCCTGGGCCCCTATCGGGGGCGTCTTGGGGGCTTCGGGGGCCGTTTTGGGGGCCTTATTGGCGTTCTCGGCACCTGGAGGGGCTCAACCTCTCGTTGGCGGGTGGGCGTTATTCGGGCAGTGTTTGCCCCTTCGTAGCATGGAGGGATCGGGGACTGTCTCGGGGGCGTCTTTGGGGACTCGGAGGCCGTCTTGGGCTCCTCCCAGGGACCTCCTGAGTCCCTTCTTGAGCCTCTTGGGCGCTGCCAGAAGTCGAATATACTGAAAGGAATGTAACGACGATTGCCTGTTTGATCTCTCTTGGGGGTCTTCTGGGAGCACTCCTGGGCGTCTTGGGCACCTCTAGGGCCGTCTTGAGGCAGTCTTGGGCGTTTTGGAGCGGACTTGGGTCGCCTGAGAGGCCTCCATGGAACGCTGGCACCCCCGCACACCCCGATTTGGGCAATTCCACGGAGCCAAACTTCCCCCTTCACGCCCATCGAAGCCTCTCGCAGGCCTCTTGGGGCCTCGTGGGTCTGGGAGCCCCCCGTCAACGTTCAATATTGCCTCCAAATTGCCACACCACTTCCGATCCGTTAAAGTCGGGGGCGCGCAAACATGGATTAGCGATCCATGGATTTGGCGCGCGGTCGCCAAATCCATGGATCGGGGGAGGTGGCCTCCCCAAAATGCGGCCGGTGCCGCCTCGTTCGGCGGCGGAAATCCGCGATGTCCCATGGTAACGGGACCCGTCGCTAATCCACGCCCCCTTATCCATGTTTGAGATCGCCTGAGGAAGAGTTGATAGTTGACTCCTGGACATACTCAGGCTAATCCCGAGCCTCGGTATCACGGCTGCCCCACTCGTTGTTCTGCTGCCTGCTCCTGCACTTCCCTGATCAAGGCAGCTCGACCAGGCCTCACTTCTGGATGAGCTCGTGACGCCAACCCGTCTTGAGCAGACCGCAAGCGAGGCACGACTCCCCGTGGTGAGCACCTGTGTGCAAGCGAACGCTCGTGCACGGGCACTGAGTATCTTTTAACCGATCGATCTCCATCCCCAATGGCCGACTTATCCCCAGGTGGGGATATATGCTGTTCCCTCAAAACCTCGCGCCGTTTATCCCCACCTGGAGGGCGGGCTGCTGAGGCTAATACCATGGCTCAGTGGGGATGGGGATCGGTTAGACGATGCTGAGGCACGGATGTGCCGCTCTTTCATCCCGATGACGCCATCGTGCACGCCCGGCTGCATGGCGGCATGGGCGCAAGCTCCTTGTTTTGCAAGACTTCTTATCAACAGCGGGGCACCGTGTTGCGAGACCGCTTCCTCCTCTCGTCCTCCTCTCCCCCTCCTGCCTTCTCCTCGTTCTCCCTCTCCTCCTCCTCCTCCTCTTCCTCCTCCTCCTCCTCCTAATCCTCCTCATCCTCTACCTCTCCTCTGCTCTTCTTTCTCCTCTCCTCTCCCCTCCCACCCACTTCACACATTATGTTCCTCTTCCTTCGCATGGGACTCAATGGTGTCGAACGCGGAGCTGAATGCGGCGGCCCTGGAGGAGGAAGAGGGAGGGGTCCGCGCCTTGCCCAACTTCGCCGCCTGCTTCTGCTTTGCCTGCCACGTTGGGCAGGCGGGGGGCGGGCAGAGGAGGAAGGGGGTGTTTGAAGGGCCCCCAGGACACACAAATAAATACACACAAATAAAAGTATTCCCCATAGTTTCCATATTTGTTTTTTGAATTTGTGTCTTCCCCCCCACTTCCCATATTTTCCCATATTTTCCTGGGAGTGGACGATTAATTGTGTCTGTGTGTGTTTTCTTCCCCTCCCCCCCGAGTGTTGGAGGGGGGGAGGAGGCAAGGGTTCTACAGGACTCTACGGGCCCCCATCACGTCTGCATGCACAAGTGAAACAGTCTCTACGTCATCGTCGTCTCCATCTCCAGGTACGGTCGGGGCGTTGACCTAAGGAACCCTAAATAAGAAACGAGGCCCCTGCTTCCCATAAGTTAAACTTCGATGTCCCATGGGCACCCTCAGGAAAACCCAAGGCAAACTGCACAACAATCAAGGAACACCGAGCCCCTCCCCGGCGACAAGGGTTCCTTCTTCAGCGCCCCGACATTACCTCTCCATATGGACCTTCATTATTCGCTGCCCCCTCCGACTCTCAATGCTCACGCACGGCCTCTGCGGGAGCAGGCCCCTTGATCAGGTGGGTGGGCGACTGACGCCCCCGCAGTCTCGTGAGGCAGCCAGGAGACTACAGACTCCGTGGCGTGGTGGGCTACGGTCAAGTGATCGGTGCAACGCTGACAAGTCTTGCGCCGCATTCGTTTCTGGCTCTCGCCGCGGGGCTCGGGTCCGCAGCGCCGTGACAACAATAGACCATCCGACTACTTTTGCTCACAATGCCACATAACGTGGAGAGTGCAGCCTATCTTCCGCAAATGGCCAGGGGAGAGAGGAGAGCAGCTTTCACAATATGCAAAATGATATCTTGAGGCGAAAGAAGAGGGAAGAAGGGAAGTGCTGGGCACCGACTGAAACACCGACCGGTCTATGAGGTAAAAGGTGGGGGCTCGGCGGCCGAATGGCAATAGACTCTGGCAACACTCAACTTCACAAGGGGCCCCAGGAAACGGGTGCATGCCCCGACGAGCCTTATCCAACCTCTTCAGCTGCTTACCTCTGGTGGACGGGACCGCAGAAGCCCCCAGGCAGGAACTCGAGAAGGACCGCGAGACCCCATGGGGCAGTATGAGGAAACCAACGCACGTCGTGCAAATCGAAACTTTGTCGATATGGGAAAGCAGACTTCCTCGATCGGCATACCCTTTCGATGCGTCGCTCGTCGACCCCGAGGGCGGATCAGGAGGCAGGGGAGGAGGCGGTTCGGAGGAGGCAAGGAAGGCATCAACAGCAGTAGGTGCCAACGTGACCGCCGTAGCCTTCAACTGAAGTGCGCGTGGCCCTCAAATAGGAGACCCCATGCGAACCCTACCCCTACCCCCCACGATTTCTGAGGGGAAGGGTGGGGTTAACTTCGTTCGAGAGCTCCCGAACGAAGTGAACCCCACCCTCTCCCTCAGAAATCGTGGGGGGTAAGGGTAGGGTTCGCATGTGGTCTCCTATCAAACTCCAACCGATCTTGCACCCTCCAAGCCGACAAAACGGTGGACCGACACGTCTCGCGAGCTCCGTTCTACAAGTGTGCAAGCGTGCTGGTGGAGCGGGCTCCCACATAACAACGCGTGTGCAATAAACAAATATATGTTCAAACGGAAGCAATCCTGGGCAACGGGGCCTCTCGCGCGACCGTGGGACGAAGCGGCATGTCCGTGCACCGCCTTAGCCGTGCTCGCCGAGCTGCAGCCCGCGAGACGTATTGGATGGCTGTTTCAGAACTGGAGCCACGACTCGATGGATTTAGTGAAACCCTGGAGCACCACTGGTCTAATTGAAGCAAACTTTGCAAAGTAGTCAGCCCATGCATTACCAAACCATGTGAATAAGTCGTACGCCTGCTCGCGAGCTTCCTTCCTCAACACTGGGGTGGGCTGGGGCCCAGGCAAAATGAGGGCACGGCACGATTCCCGGCATGGGCGACGATAGCTCTCCAGACACAGGGGGAAATGAGCAGCAGATATGGGGGAGGAAGGGGGGGAGGGAGGAGAGAGGAGGATGATGGAGGGAGATGAGTGAGGGAGGAGGAGTGACCGAGGAGAGGCCAAGCGAGGCCCTGTCCCGTCCAGCAGGCCTAATCCGAGCCTGGCTCAGTCCCCTCTCTCTGGGCCTGGGGCGCGGCTGCGGCGACCTCACGCCTCGGCGCCTCCACCACCCTGAAGGTCTGGGAATCCGCCTCCCCCCACTGGGGGGCTGAGTTGGCAGGGGTCGGACGGCCAACCCACCGTGCACAGTGCTGGGAAGCCGCGGGGGTCTTGTAGGAAGGATGCTCCCCTGCTGCAATCCGGCGGAGGGTCTCTTGACCCTTCGCGGCGGCACTGGGGAGGGCATTCCTTGACCACGTGACGGGGATCCGTGGCAACCGTCAGCCCGCAGCGCACACAGAAACGAAGATTACGGAGGTCCCAAGCCCACAGTCAGTGGCTAGGGTGTAATGAAGCCGATCCAACCCGCGCAGGTCTCACCAGCTCCCGAACCACCACCCTCGCCATGGTCGCAAAACTAGTCGGGCGTCTTTGGGACCCAGGACATATAAGCTTGTGGATGCCACGACAACGGACACCCTGACAGTCCTATCATTGAACTTACGATGGGTTAAACATATAAACATTGTTATAAACATGTGTTGGACATGTGTTTACATGGTTAAAACATGTTTACCACATGGTTTAGACACCTGGGAACGATTTGGCAACAAGCTTCCTCTCCATTGATCATCCTCCACAAATCTACGTAAACGCGCAGGAATCCGAGAGGCAGAGGTGGCGATCTCTGGCACTGATGGCATTGCCAACGGACCCCTGCTTTGGCGAACGCATGAAGCGAAGTCGCGAGCGCCAGAACACGCCGCGAGAGGCGAAGCCTCCGCTCGCTGGGGGTGCCCAGCCACTCGCCTTCCCAGGAGTCCACGGCAAGAGTGTCCAGGAGGGCCCTGCGAATGCTTCTCCTGATCAGAAACGACTCAATGTCGACACGGTCGATCGAATGTGGGTCGAAGGACTGCGAGGACAACTCCCAACCCCTGGACGCAACGTTGCTTGCAGCGGCATCCGACACAGCATTACCGATGCAGCAGAACCGCTCCTTGTGGGTCCTGACTCTGTCGGGCGGCTGCTCAAGGTGGGAGGGGACCACGCAACACCAAAAGTTCTTTCTCGAGCACGAACCGACGCCCGAATGGCCTTCCACAGGTCCGCATCCTCTTCCGCGGGAGCTGGGAACGTACAACGACCTCGAGGCCACGCTAGATCAAGGGGCAAATGATCAGTAACATACAGCAAGTCATGCGGCAGAAGCTCTAAAGCGAACAGAAAAGCCCTCAATTCAGCCAGATGTACCGTCTGACGGCGACCTGACAAGGGAAGGGACGCTTCCCAGATTGGCCTCCACTCAGAAATACTGCTACCATGCGACTGCAAGACCACTACGCCAACCCCACAGCGCCTTCTCCTAAAATCGCTCGAGAACTTCCCCCAAAGCCGTCTCCGAACACCGTGGCAGGGAGGATGAGGAGGAAGAAGAGGCGAAGAAAGGAGGAGGAGGAGGAAGAGGAATGGGAGGAGGAGGAGGAGGAATGGGAGGAGGAGGATGAGGAGGAGGAGGAGGAGGAGGGGGAGGAGGAGGAGGAGGGAGTAGGAGGAGGAGGGAGGGAGGGGGAGGAGGACGGGGAGCAGAGGGTCTCATCACTGCGCCCAGGGAGGAGGGTGGCGCGGCGCCTCGCGCTCGCTGTCCTGCAGCCTCCGCTCCTGGGCCCTCTCCCTGGGGGCGCGCGGGCCGAGCTCGCGGGTGGCCCCCGTGGGCCCCCATTGCACCGAGGGCTGCCTCGGGTGCTCCGGAGGTCGAGCATTGAGCAGGGACCGACCGTCCCGGCAGTCCTCTAGGCCTACCTATACGACATGTCTTCAGAGCCCAACAATGTTTTGAGGATGGAAGCGATGTTCTCAGAGCGTAAGCCCGATGTGTTTCACCGAGACAGACTCAGCCAGACATGTTCCAAGAACATGTCGTGCGAACCACAAAAGCTTCTTGGAGCATGTGGCGGTGGGTCTGTAGGCGAGCCAGGACGCTTCGCCATTGCTTCAGAGACACGAGCCCTGTCAAAAACGGAAGTTTTCGGAGGTGCGCGAGGATTTTTCGGATCGGCGCTGGATCTCCTTGGCGGCGCGTCCGGCGCCATCCCTAGCGCGCTCCGCGCGCCAGAGGGGGGGGGTCCGGCTCCAGTCCAATAGATCCGCGCAGACCTCCGACAGGCTTTGCTCATGCTGTGTATTGATCCTCAGGACGGTGAGGGGCACCGATGGGTGGGACCAGCTCGGGGGGGCAGCATCGATTGGGAATCGGCGATGCATCGCCGATAGATCGGCGACAGGCCCCCGATAGCGAATCCGCATAGTCCTAGGCGGGGCGGGCCATCGGACCCCTATCGAGGAGTGGGCGATTGGGGGTTGGTGCATTCCCCCCTGGGTCAATCCTCCCTACAGTTGCCCCTGAGAAGGTAAAGGAAGCAACTCCTGGGAGGTCTTCGTGAGAACGATGGCCACTGTGAACTGCGAAGCCCAACTAAGAAACGTTGGACCACGTTAGCTCATATTAAACTCAAGATAAAGCCAGAACAAGCGAAACCAAAAGAGAGACGGGGGACCATGAAGAGCGAGGCTGGCGAATCATGGCCCGAGGCACGCACGCGGACAACTCCTGAGCAATTCGAGGGATCCTGGAGGACTCCTGGGGACTATCCTTCCCCCCCCTCCTCCTCCTCCTCCTCCTCCTCCTCCTCCTCCTCCTCCTCCTCCCCCATCCTCCTCCTCCTCCTCCTCCTCCTCCTCCTCCTCCTCCTCCCCCTCCTCCTCCTCCTCGCTCCTCGCTCCTCCTCCTCCTCTTCCTCCTCCTCCCATTTATACTCCTCCTCCCACGTCTCCTCCACCTCCTCCTCCCATTCCTCCTCCTCCTCCTCCTCCTCCTCCTCCTCCTCCCTCTCTCCTCCTCTTCCTCCTCCTCCTCGCTCCTCCTCCTCCTCCACCCTGTCACGGTCTCCTCCTCCTCCTCGCTCCTCGCTCCTCCTCCTCCTCCAGTCCTCCTCCTCCTCCTCCTCCAGGCCTCGGGACCGCCAGTCATCGACGCAGGATGAAAGGCTGGCCCCCCCGACACGTCGAAGAACGACGCTCCCCCTCCCCTCCCCTCTCTCTCTCCCCCTGCCTCCGCCACTGGGCTTCGCACGGATGTCACAAATAATCAAATCGACGTTCACACACACCCGGGCGCTTCCACACCCAGGGCCTGCCTTCTGAGAGGCCCCGACTCGCGCCGCCCCCCGTGCGCGCGCCGCCGAACACCTGCCGTCGGGGGTGTCCACGGCCGGGGCCGCGAGATCTTCCAGACATCACGGCCCCCCTGTGTCCCTCTCTCCACGCGTTCACCTGGGAGGAGGAGGAGGAGCAGGAGGAGGAGGAGGAGCAGGAGCAGGAGGAGGAGGAGGAGGAGGAGGAGGAGGAGGAGGAGGAGGAGGAGGACAGGAGGAGGACAGGAGGAGGGGTAAAGGGGACCCCGAGGCCAACCATAGCAGCGCGAACTGCCGTCGTGGCTTCTTCGCGACGCGAGGGGGTCTGGGCGGGGGGGCCCTTCCTAAAGGCGGGGAACTTCTTAGAAACGCCCGGGTGCTTCTTAGAAGTTCTGTCGCCTTCTTGTGAATAACGATCGACGGCATAAACATTGGCTCTCTGAGGTCAGCGCGCATGTCTTGGAGCGCGTTTCTTTTATTTTCGGCGATAATGGGCATTACAGGGGGGGGAGGGGCCAGGGGGGGTATAATGTAACGCCTCCCCCCCGCCGTGCGCACGGCGGCAATTCCTAAAGCGCACTGGGGGGGGAGGGGCGTTACATTGTAGGGGGGGGGGGACGGGGGGCCGGGGGCTGTAATGCCCATTATGCCCCAAGTCCAAGTAATAATTTGCTCTTGGGTCGGCGCGTGGCGTCCCAGGAAAACAGGCGGGTTGGCAGCCCGATCGTCACCACAGCTCGACGGGGCTGTGGGTGAGACTCTTGCCCTGTGGTTGGCCAGCCACAGCAGGTGCGGGCCCGCCTTACCACCCTTGAGAGGCCCGATGGGGTTACTCGAAGGGGTCCCCCGACGTGGGGGGCGCGGGAACTTGAGTCCTTGGGCAGCGGGGTCTCCGCTGCTTGAGGCCAACGGCCAAGGAGGGGTGGTGCCCGTGGCCGTGTCTCCGGGTGGCATCTCGAGGCACCTCGCAGCGGCGGCACAGATGTGACGCCTGGGGCGGGTCTGTGCCGCAGTTCATGCTGCGAGGTCCGACTGCCTGTGAGCTCGTGCAGGCACCTTGGGCACCTCCCTTCGGGCTGTGTCGCCCAGGCGATCTGTCCCGGCACACTCTTGGGTCGGCGCTGGCTCCCCCCACCTCTGCCCTGGCGGAAGGACCGCGCCGGGGGCGCCGCTGGGGCGGCCCAGGGGATACGCGTCCAAAGACCTGCGGGTTCAAAATGATGGCATTACCGCTGAGGCGGTGTGATTCGTGTCCAGAAGCTGCGCGTCCTAAGACCAGACCTGTTGGAGCCAGAATGGTGAGATTCGCGTGCAAACGGTGGCTTAAGAAGCACATGAACTACGGAACGCAGTTTTAATGTGTGCAAGAAAATGGCCGATGTTCAGAAGTCGGCGTTTGGAAACTTATTGTACATGTTTAGGCAGTCGATTGGATACAATCGCTGGCAAAGTGTGCACAAGTGTGTGTGTGTGTGTGTGCGTGTGTGTGTGTGTGTGCGTGTGTGTGTGTGTGTGCGTGTGTGTGCGTGTATGTGTGTTTGTGTGCGGTGTTGTGGTCACTATGTCCAAGCATCTTTCACACATTCCCAACATACTTTGGACACGCGACCAGGCATGGCGAACCAAACAACGATGGCGGCCGACTTGCGTTTTACGTCACGCATCCAGGGACAGTGAATGACCGTGCGGCCCTCTCTGATGCGACCAACGACGGTGACGGCGAAGATCACCATGGAGGTGGGAATCGTCACGAGGGTCAGCTCAGGGATACTTAGGGCGGAAGCAGATGTAATGAAGGCGGGGATCGGGACGGCAATGGGGACGATGATTTGAGTGAATATAGTGGGCACAGCGAGAACGAGGATAACGATATGAATTCGAAAGGCAATGAGGAGTTCGATGAAGACGGCGACATAGACAGCAATGAGGATAAGGAGGCGAAGATGGGAATGAACGGGCAGAGAAGGATGAAGGGAAGGAGACTGAGCGTGAAAAGGACGAGGAAGACGACGATGCCAAAGATAGTCCAGACAAACCAGACCAGGTCAGGAATCCGAAACCATATTCGAACCACACCAAACCCATATCGAATATAGCATGACCCACTATCATGGGACCTACCCCGCACTCTCTGTCAACAAACTGTAGTGTGCCCACGGAGATGGGAATACGGGACGCGAAAGGGGACAGCACTGTTTTCATCAATGCGTGTCGCTCGCGCTGGGGTGGGTGAGAAAGCCAATCCGAAGGTCAGAAGGACATGCCCCTCTGTGCCACTCTCCATGAGGGCACGCTGGGGTCGCATGGACCCAGACATCCGGCTGCTCCAATTTTTTTGGTGCGCAGACCCGGGAGGTCTGGACCACTTCCCTGGGACCGGTGTTTCGTCCTGAGTCGTTTTTTGACGCCCCCGAGGCCCGGCGAGGGCCCCCGGAAGCCGAAAACTGGCAAAAACCGCCCGCTCCAATTTTTTGGGAACGTCGGACCTCAGAGGAGGGATGCTGTGGGTCCCTGAGGGATACGGATCCTTGTTGGCTCGCCTTGGGGTCGTCTTGGGAGCCATGGGATCACAATGGGCACGTACTAGAATCGTCAGGAGGGTCGCCATGCGACCGTCCTGCGGCAGGTGGCTTCTCGGAAGCCCCCCCGGGCGTCTGAGGATGCAGTCTCGGAAGCACCCAGGGCCCCTCTAAGAACGCCCCTACAGCCCCCTGAGATCCCACGGCGCGAACAAACTGCAGCACCGCGGAAATCACGACAGGAACCCTGGACCCCATGTTGCCGCGTGGCTGCTCGAACCCGATCTGGCTTCGTGGGCTCCGGGGCCCGAAACCTTGCGAACACGCCCGGCTCGAAAAGATTGAGACGCCAGGATCTCCTGAGCAGGGACCGACCGTCCCGGCATTCCTGTAGTCCTACCAGGACATGTTCTTAAAACCCCAAAATGTTCTAAGAACGAATACAACGTTCTTGGAGCATTAAGCCCGATGTGATAAAGCAAGACAGCCTCCGCCAGGAATGTTCTAAGAACATCTCGTGGAAGCCACAAGAGGCTCTTAGGACATGGTTTGGTAGGGCCATGGGCACGCCAGGACGCTTCGCCCACTGCTTGAGGATCTCAGGGCGGTGCGCAGCTGCGGGGGGGCCGTGGGCGCCGGCCGGCTCCAGGCGCGGGCCCGCATCACAGGTCACTCAAGCGAAAGGTCACTCTCACGAGCAGCCGAGCCAGCCGTCCCAGACACCCGACAATAAGACCTTGGGAGACAACTACTAAGAGGTCTTCGCCGGAAAGACTAAAAGAGATTACGCCCCATTTGGGAGCTGTTACGCCGGAAAGGGCCTCGGATTAAGTGGGATTGAGCCGGACGAACCCGGATCAAGCGGGGTAAAGCCGGATAAAGCCGGACGAAGCCGGACTTCGGACCAGTGCAAGATCAGAGTCTGGCCTCCCAGGAATTTCAAACTTATTTACTTATAATTCTAAAGTTGGATTACATTTAACTGCTGCAGGTCCGTGCCGTGTCGACCCTGGCGTTGGTTCCTGACACCGCGCTGGATCGTTCAACATTGAACGATCGGCCGCTGCCGCAACGTCCGATCGTTCAACATCGATCGATTCTGGGTCGCCGGCGGCGTTCAACCTTGAACGTCCGCGCTGGGGTCGCCGCTGGTCGACACGACGCAAACCTATCGTACTTATAATTCTAAAAGTTGGATTACATTTAAGTATCAAGCCATGCCTTCAAATACAGACCGCGCAGCCCCACCCAAAGAGAGCTCCCGGCCACGCTCCCGGGGGGGCCGCCCCCGCTCCGGTGTTGCAGGCCCCCATGGGCCCCGAAGGCAGGGCCCCCAGAGAGCCGCGAGACCGAGGAGGGCGCCCCCCTGGAGCGAGAAGCCAGATCTGAAGGGGCCCCAGGACACACAAATAAATACACACAAATAAAAATGTTCCCCATATTTCCCCATCTTTTCTGGGTCTCTGTCTTCCCCACCACTTCCCATATTTTCCCAGATTTTCCAGGGGATCGACGATTAATTGTGTCTGTGTGTTTTTTTCCTCCTGAAAATCGTCGGAGAGATGGCGGGGGCCCATGCCAAGACGCACCCTTCTTGGTCGGCGGGGCGAGAGCGAACCTCTTCCGCTAACAGCTGGGCGGGCTGCGCACAGCTTCAATCAGGGAGACAGGGCACAGGCGGGCGGGGCCTCAGGCGGCCGGAGGGGCCACGCCAAGAGACACCCTGCCTGCCTCCAGGGGGCCCTGGGCTCTTGGGTTTCGACGGGTCTGCGATGGAAAGCGCGACGTTCACGGGCCACACATCCATGGGCGCCCTGGGGGCCCAGGGTCGGGCCTCTTGTGGAAGGCTTCTGGTGGTCTGGCCTCCACTGCACGGTGGGGTCGTCGTCGATGTCGACTCGCTGTGGGTCGGCCCTTCCGCGGCGGAGGGCCGCGAGGCAACCGAGCGCTTGCCTGGCGCCGGCCGCCGCGTCCCGCCGCCACAGGCCGAAGAGGTCGCGGAGGAGGTGGTGGCCGCCTCAGGGGGGCCACGGGTCGGCGCGGCGCGGCGCGGCGGGGACGCTACAGTCGGGCCCAGGCCAGAATGGGACACACAGGGAAGGGACACACTGGTACGATCTGTCCTCCTTGGAGGCGCGCGTCCGGCCCGAACACGTAGCCTGCCCATCTTGCAGTTTCCCCGAGCGGTGTGGCCAGAAAGCGCCCGCCACAACGCAGACACTAGAAGATTTACCGGTGCGCGCGTCACCCCTGGGGGGGCGACGCACACAGAGTGTTAATATGTTTGTGGGTGACGCCGACAGAAGAGAGCCCCTCCAAAACATGACCTCCGCCGGCCAAAACAAGCAAACGTTTCCATGGTGCTCTCCCAGCGTGCAAAAGAGCATCCAACAAACAGGAGGAACATGAGGGCACCCTGCCCGAAGCGACCTCGATCTTATACCTCGGTCTGATTGTATGAACGCCAGGGCACGTAGTGACACGCACGAGACCGAAATACTGGGGCAACTCCTCCAGATTCTGTCAATCTCGCCTTTTCGGCCTCAAGACGCCCCAAGACGGCCCAATGCCACTAAGATAGGCACAAGAGGCCCCCCAGGAGGTTTCCAAGACGGCCCCAAAACGACTCAAGAGGGCCCCAAGACGGCCCTGAAGGCCTGCCAGACAGCCGAAGAGGCCCTCAAAACGGATCCAAGAAGGTGCCCACACGGGAGCCCGAAAGAACATGTCGAGCCCTCGGCCCCGAGAAGCTCCAAGGAGGCCCCGGGAGGCCACCAAGAGGCCCCCAAGAGGCCCCCAAGGGGCCCCCACGAGGCCCTAAGAGGAACTGTCGCCCATAGGTAGGCCTACGAGCGCGCTCCGAAGAGGCCCCACGAAGTATCACTGAAAACTCTGCCCAACGTCAGCGTCGTCGTCGCCGACGTCGCCGTCGCAATCGTCGTCCCCCTTCCGGGTCGGCAGCGCCGACCGCAACTCTTTCCCAATGCTGGGACAAATCCTCCAGGTAAGACTGTCAAGCCAACTTGGGCGGGCCCTCGAGGGGTGGGAAGGAGGGGGTGGGGGTGGAAGGGGAGGAGGGGGGATTGAGGGGAGAGGGGAAGGGGGGAGGGAGGGAGGGAGGGAAGGAGGGACGGGGTGGCGGAGCAAGGAGGAGGGATGAGGATGGAGGGGGAAGGCCTCTGTTGAAGCAGATGATTAGGACGAGGAGGATGAAGGAATCGTAAATGCGGGAGGAGGAATAGGAGGAGGGGAAGGATAAGGAGGGGGGCGAGGGGAGGATGGAGGAAGGCGGGGAGGGGTGGGGGGAAATGCTGCCGCTGCAACTCATTTGGCATCGAGGGGAAAGTAGCCTCACATGGCTTCGTCGCTGAGAAGAACCAACTGCGGCACACATCTTCGACTACGGCGGCGCTCGTTATTACACTCTACGTCCCGACAAGAGGCATGTTTCGCACCCTGTATTGCGCGCCTGGTGGATATGTCGCCGCAGCATTTGCTCTGTAACGAGTACCATCTCTGGGACAGGTGAATACAACCCAGAGCGACTGCAAACACGTAATACTGATTGCTCATGCTTCCAATACGGTGTCCCAGCCGTCTTCACGTCCAATGATGGCCGAAGGGCAGAGCACACCATAATCTGCTGCACATTACCGGACACATGTTATCACACGTTTCGTGCACCGTACCTGTTGCGTGTTGTCCAATGGCGTTTCCGTTCTTGCATTCGCACATGCCTCGTTACAAAATTGGTGCCCGCCAGCAAGTACAAGCTCACGCGCCGGCGGTGCGGGCCGACAGCTTGGTTCACGACTGAGGGGCATCCGCTAACACGCTGTGTGCTTCAGAACGATCGCCAAGCAATATCAAGAACGCGATCTACACACTGGGTGGGTCACACGAAGGGTGCGTCTCCTTTTCGAACGAATATGAAGGGGCCCTGGGACACACCTATAATTTGACACAAGTAACAGGATTCCCCATATTTTCTGGGTATTCGTTTTCCCCTCACTTCCCGTATGTTCGTACATTTTCTAGGGAATCGGCGATTCATGTTGTCTGTGTGGTTTTTTCCCTCCTTGAGTATACAAGTGTCACGTTCGACCCATAGCCTTGACTCTTCCTTACCTTCCCACTCCCCTGCTCCCTCCCGCATCCCCCTACCCTCACAGAATGGCCCCTCGACCCTCTCCTCGACTCTCTCCCACCTGCCCTCCAAGCCTCTCTCCTCGAGCCTTTCCCGCCTGCCCTCCAACCCTCCTTCCCCCATCCCACCACCCCCTGTACCCCCTCTCCTCTCTCCTCCCCTCCCCTGCCTTCCACAATTACTCAATATGAATACTACTCTCCCTCTTCCCCCGATGGCGGCCTGAAAGTATTAGACCCCCCCGCGCACTGTTTTTTTACACACAGGATTCCCGGGAGTTGGGTTTTCGCCTGCGTTTTTTTCCAAAATGCTGCTCTCGCTGAGGCGCCGGCCTCATTTCTGCTCCCGAATCGTTCCGAATCGTGCTCCCGCTGCAGCGTGGGCCTCATTTTCGGATCGGTGTTTGGCCTCCGTCGTTCAGGATGGCGTTCTCGCCCCAGCGCGGGCCTCTTTCTCGCGCGCCCATCCGCCCGCCACCACCGCGCCGCACCACCACCACCACCACCACCACCACCACCACCACCACCACCACATCCAGCACCAGCACCAGCACCACCAGCACCACCAGCACCAGCACCAGCACCAGCACCAGACCACGCACCACACCACGCACCACGCACCACGCACCACCACCACCACCAGCACAACCACGCACACACGCACGCACGCACGCACGCGCACCACCACCCACTACGCACGCGCGCGCGGAGCCACAGGTCCGCTACGACACGCGTCCGCGGATAGAGAAAATCAGCGCCATGGTAAGGGATGGGAGGGAGGGGTAGGACGTCAGATATGACGCGAGCGCACCTAATTAGCTTGCCCCCCTCCCATCCTCTACCCCCCCCCCTCCCCTCCCCGAGATCATTTTTTTATTCCGGCCGGTAACGCTCGTTACCCGGGGGGTGGGGGGGGGGTCGTGCCCCCCGGGTAACGGTAACGCTTGGGCTGGGCGGGGTATGGCGAAGCAGGGGCGCTCTGCGATCGCCATAGTATGCGCGCGAGCAGCACTCTCTGCCTGAGAGCACCACAGTGGCTTGCGATTCGAGTACAAGCGCAAAGCCCGCCGCGTGGTCCCGGCACCACGCCCGCGCCCGCGCGCGCGACGACGATGATCGACGAGCGACGAGCGACGAGGTCGACGACGACGACGACGACGTTTGCCGCCTGTTTCGGCCTCCGGAGGCCGTTTTCGGGCGCCGTCGACGACGACGACGACGACGACGACGACGACGACGACGACGACGACGACGACGATTCGAGTACAAGCGCAAAGCCCGCAAGCACCAGCATCGCGCATGCGAGCGCCGCAATGGCCTGCGAGCGCCCACAGTGCGCCTGCGACCACCACACCACAGTGCGCATGCCTTCGGGCACCAGCATGTTGGAGGGGAAGACCGAGACCCCCCCCGCGTACGAGCGTTACCGTTCCGGGGGGGGGGGGGGGGAGAGGCCCGGGTAACGAGCGTTACCCCCCAGAGGATAAAAAAACAATCTCCCCCCCTCCTCCCCCTCCCCTCCCCTCCCCTCCCCTCCCCTCCCCCCCTCCAGTCCCGGACCCGTCCCCCCTCCCTTCGTCCACCTTCGCTCGCTCGTGGAGCGCCCAGCGCACGACACACCAGAGCAGCCACAAGCGACGCCACGCCGCACGCGCCGGCCCCCGTGGCTCCCGAACCGCACCTCGGGCTGCCGCGGCGGCTGTGCGGGCGACCCGGGGACGCCCCCGGAAGGCCCTCGGCGAGGCGCGGCCGCCGGCACGCACCGCGCGGCCGAAGACCGCCGAGAAGCCAGACGAGCAGGCTCGGGTTCAGTCGGGCGCGTCACCTACGGGGGGGATTTTTGGGGCGGAAGTCCAGCGCTCCAGAAATATCCCAAAATGGTAGCAAACAATTCTCCAGAAAACAGAGGGCAAATGGTAGCAAATTCCCCTACAGGGGAATTTTGGGGCGGAAGAACAAATGCTCCAGAAATATTCCAAAATGGTATTTTAAAAAACCTTCCAGAAGATAGTCCCCGCACTATTGCTTGACTGATTTTGGATACTCCCCCTGCAGAGGGACAGGCCCGACTTTGAAGGCTCGGAGGCCCCGCGCGGCGCGAACCGTTGGGGCCACCGCTCCACGGCGGTGGCGAAGGGCGCGCCCCTCCTCGCCCTCGGGGGGGGCCCGCGCCGCGGCGGCAGAGGCGTGCGGGCCGCCCGGGGGCGCAGGAGGGCATCCTCCTCCTCCTCCTCCTCCTCCTCCTCCTCCTCCTCCTCCTCCTCCTCCTCCTCTCCTCCTCCTCCCCCTCCCCCCTCCCCCTCCTCCTCCTCCACCTCCTCCTCCTCCTCCCTCTCCTCCTCCTCCTCCTCCTCCTCCTCCTCCTCCTCCTCCTCCTCCTCCTCCTCCTCCTCCTCCGGCGGCGCGCCCGACTCCGGGGCCCAGCGCTGCATGGCCGAGACGATGGTCCTGCGGCGCTGCGGCAGGGGCTTGGACGTCCGTTTCCCGTGCATTTGTCGGTCTCGTGCGTGTTCCTGTTTGCTCGATGGTCGAGGACGGTCCTCGAAGGTTCTCGCCGAGAAAAAATGCAAACGTCCAAGCGATGCCCGGAGGGAAGTGGTTGTGTTCAAGATCGAGCCTCAGGTCGGGCAAGTCCCCCTACCGGCGGATTTTGGACGAGAAACAAGAATAGTCAACACATAGACCAAAGCACATGCTATTTTGAACGTCTTCTGAATTTTGCGTTTTTGCAGGTGAAAAAATTGAAGCAAAAGCGGGCCTAAGTATTCTGTTGTTGTTGATGTTGTTGTTGAATCTTCCTCCTGTGCCCGCGTTAAAGATAGCCAGGCCGAGCGACTCCGAGGGTGAGCCAGCGAGCGTGCCCTCCACCAGACGGCGCGCGAGCAGGGGAAGAGGAGTCGCGTTCGCAAAATGCCTTCGGCAACCGCTCCGTCCCGTGGCATGAAGACCAAGTGTGGCGCAACCTGACATCGGGATTGGAGCGAGGTCCCACCTGGCGAACGGAGGCGTTCTCGCGCGGCCCCGCTTCCGACGACCTGGCGAGGGGAAAACGATGCGGGCCGCGCAGGGGCAGGAGCGGCAACACGTCCGATGGTATGGCCTGGACTTGTCCGAAGAGCGAGGTCAAGCCATGTCAGAATTCGGAATAGGGTTCCGACTTGTGACTGCATTCGCTGCCGTCGTTGCCAATCGTGGGCTCGCTCAATCGCCTGCCGCCTGAGCTCACAGACCGATGGGCGGTCCGTATCCCACACGGCGAACGCTGTGAGCGCCTCCGACCATCCCCCGAGTCCGCCCGCCCCCTACGTTGAGCGCGTTGGATGGGCAGAAAAGGCGTCCTCCAGGGTCAGGGCACATTGCTTAACGAACGCCCCCACCGTAGAGACCATAACGGCCTTCGGTTTGGTCCTCCTCCTCATCCTCCTCCTCCTCGCTTTCGTCCCTCCTCCTCCTCCTACTCCTCCTCCTCCTCCTCCTCCTACTCCCGCTTCTCCGACCATCCTTCGACACATGGCATGTGGGGACCTCTCGGGGCCTCTCTGTTTTTTAATTCTCCGCGATGACGGGCGTGATCGAGGAGGAGGAGGAGGAGGAGGAGGAGGCGGGGGAGAAGGAGGAGAGGGAGGAGAAGGAGGAGGGGGAAGAAGAGCAAGGGGGGGGAGGGGCGATCACATCACAGCGGGTTTCGCCCTCCCGGGGCCTCTTTCGAGCCGCTCGGCCCTCGCGAGGAGGAGGATGAGGAAAAGGGAGAGGGAGCGGGGGAGGGAGAGCTAGGAGAGGAGCAGGAGAGGAGAAAGAAGGATCAGGAGAGGAGAAGAAGAGGAAGAGGGCGCGGAAAACGAGGAGCAGCTGCAGAAGCATGAGCAGGAACAGCATGGAGGGCGAGCGAGGAAGAGAAGAAACGATCTGTAGCCAACTTGACTCAAGCCAATTTGGCTCTTCACAAAAGGCCCAGGATGGCTCTCTGCAAGGGTTTGGCCCAATATGGCGCCAAAAGAGCCTCAGACAACTCAAGATGGCCTACAAGATCTTTCCGGGTAGCCCAGCATAGCAGAAGCAAGATCGCAACATGCCTCCAGGCCGCTTCGAATGGTCAAGGAGCCTCCCAAGGTGGCCCCCGAGAAACCAAGATCCTTCCAAAACGAAAACGTTGCTTTTGGCCTTGCGATTGGTTTGCGAAGCCTCAAGATTGCTCCAAGCTGTCCCCCAAGGGCCCTGAGAGAGCCCCAAGAGCGGCCCGAGAGGGGCCAAAGGGCGCCCAAGAGCGCCCCATCCTGCTCCCCATTCTCCTCCCCCTCCTGCCCCCCATCCTCCTGACTCCTCCTTGCCCTCTGGTGACGGCGGCGGCGGCGGTAGCGGCGGCGGCGACGCTTGACGATGTTCGTGGGGGCAAAAGCGTGACGTGATTGGGGGGGGGAGGGGCGGGGGCGATCACGAGCTAAAAGAACACCTGGGGGCCTCGCAAATGAACATGGAAGTTGAAAGCAACACCTTCGACACCGAACCCACTCGGAGCAGGACCGCGGGCCCGACCCCGGTTCCGCTGTGGGTGGGTCCCCGGGCAATGCTACACTGAATTGGAGTGTCTGGTGGGATGGCGCGTACCCTCCTCCTCCTCTTGGGTCTCGTCGTCGGACTGGCGGCGACAAGTCATGTTCCCGGAATGCTATATGAGAACATGATGGTGTGGGCCGTGTCTGAGTCCTCGGTGAGGTTTCCGGGGTACCCCACATGAGGCTGCTAAGCCCGAAGGACAGCCAAATGGAACCATTCGAAAATCCTCAGATAGGAGGCCTCGCGGGGGCCTCTTGCGGGCCGTTGTTTAGTCTCTTGGGGGCCGTGTTGGAGCCTTATGGAGCGTCGTAGGGGCCTCTTGGGGTCCTCCTGGAGCCTCGTGGCAGTCTCTGGGGGCCATCTTGGGGCCTATGGGGAGCCTCTTCGGGCGCAAGGCTCGACACTTCGGCTCATGCTCCCCTCTTCTTGAGCCCATCTTGGGGCCGTCTTTAGGACCTCTGAGGCAATCTTGGGCGACCCTGGGGCCGTCATGGAGCCCTGTTAACCCTCGGCCTCCACCTCCCGCGCCTTCCAGACGGCAGCTGCCGCGCGGCGGCCGCCGCCAGCGAGGCCGCAGTGGCGGCCGCCGCCGAGGCCACAGCAGCGGCCGCGGCGGTCGCCGCGGCCGCGCCGCGGATGCGCCGCTTGCGCGGTGGGCGAGGCCCACACCTGCCCCTTCGGCCTGCGAACTGTGTGAAGCCCATCGGTGGACGACTGCCCGCCCTGGACCTCCGCCATCCTCCGCCGCCTGCCCGTCGGCAGGTGCCGCGCAGCGGCCGCTGCGAGCGCGGGCCGCAGGGGCGGCCGCCGTCGAGGCCGCAGCGGCGGCCCCGTCGGTCGCCCCGGCCGCGCCTGCGGCGGCGTCTGCGGCGCGGAAGGCTCGGAGGGCGGAGGTCGAGGGAGGCCGTCCCGAGGCGCCGGGCCCGTCCTGAGGCGGTGTTGGAGGCCTCTTGGGCCGTCGCTGGTCGTCGGACGCTAGGAAACAAGGCAAGGCCCCCAAAACATAGAGAAACCCTAGGGGCATCAAAGTGGTTGCCTTCTCGAGGCGATCGTCTGGGCCCTTCCTGGGGCTCTTGGGGCGACAGATTCGGAAGTTCGGTTCATGCTCCCCCTCTAGAGGCCATCTTGAGGCCGTCTTTAGAGTTGTGGATGCCACGACAATGGACACCCTAACAGTCCTATCATTGAAAATTTGAAATCTCATTAGAATGTAGTAGGAAACATGTTCTAAATATGCTTTAAACATTGGTTTAACATGTTCAAAACATGTTTAACACATGTTTTAGACATCTGGAAATTATTTGGCAACATGCTTCCTCTCCATTCATCGTCCTCCACAACTTTAGAGCTTCTTGGGCCGTCTTGGGCGCCCTTGGGGCCGTCATGGAGCCCTGCTGGGCCGTCCCGAAGCCCTCCTGGGGGCCTCTGGGCCCGTCCCGAGGCCGTGTTGGAGGCCTCTTGAGCCGCCGTGGATTCTCGGAGACTCGAACAGTCGAGGACCCCCAAAACGCAAAGAAATCCCTTGGGGAATCAGAGATTTGCGCCCCTCGGGGCTCTCGTGGAGGGCGGGATCCCACCGAAGCCTGCCAGGGGCCGTCCCAGCGCAGCCTGGAAGCCTCCGGAGGCCGTCCAACAACCCTCTGCGGCGGTCTTGGCTTGTCTTGGACCAGTCCATGGGTAAATTTTGACAGCAGTTCTGGAGCCATCGCGGCGCCCACGGAGCCACTTTGGGCGCCACGGGGGCGCCCCAGGGGCCCATGGAGCCAATTCCCCTCCTCCTCCGCCTACTCCTTCTCCTTCTTCTTTCTCCTCTCCCCCTCTTCTTCCTCCTCCTGCTGCTCCTCTTCCTCCTCCTCCTCCTTTTCCTCCTTCATCTGCTCTTTCTCCTCTTTCCCCTCCTCCATGTCAACCCGTGGCCATGGTTCCGGGCTCGCCCCTGGCTTACTCCCAGGCGTCCGTTCGCAGACCTGGCGCAAGTGCTGCTGCCCAAAGGCCCTATAGGACACCCGTGCCCCCTCCCGTCCCCCAGCGTCTGGAGGCCTCCTGGATGGGGTCGGAGTAGATGGGGTTGGAGGATCGCGCCGCATCGCCACTACATCGGCGATGCATCGGCGATGCATCGGAGAGGCGATGCATCGTCGACGTGGGCGATGCATCGGCGACGTCGACGTGAAGCAAGTCGGGCTCCACACCGAGCCGCATCGGCGATGCATCGCCGTTGCGGCGCGATCCTCCGACCCCTATCTGGTAGGCCTAGATCGTCCCCATCTGCCCCCGAGCCCTCCGTCCAGATGGCGATCCTCCTGCTGTTATGGGCGGCCGTCTTGACGACGCCAGCATCCCTCTGCAGGCGGATGAGCTCCTGCGGCCGCGCGCGAAAAGGGAAGCGGTCGGAGCCCTAAGCGCCTGCAGATTCGCCGCACTGCTTGCTGTTTCTTGTCGCGGCGGGGCATGGGACTCGGCCCGTCCCACGCTCACCGCGGCGAACGTGGAGCAGAGCTGCCACATCAGGGCGCCGGATTTGACGATTTAGGCGATAGAGGAGATGAAAAGGATGCAAGAGACAACAATAATGAGTCCTGGAGATAAAAAAAGTGATGGGAGAAGAACGACGAGACGGACGAGGAGGGCTACAGTGAGGACGGGAAGACGGATGGGAAAGGACAGGAGATGGAGTAGATGTATGGAAGGAGGGCGGGAGAGAGGATGGTGATGATGATGACAATGATAATGATGATGATGATGATGATGCTAAAGATGGTGATGATGATGATGATGATGATGATGATGATGATGATGATGATGATGATGATGATGGTGATGGTGGTGATGAAGATGATACTGCTGATGATGACGATAATGCTGATAATGCTGATGATTATGAAAAAGATGATTATGATAATGAGGATGAGGATGGTGATGATGGTGGTGGTAATGATGATGATGATGATGATGACGACTACTAAGACGAGTATCGACTATTATGATGCTGATGTTGGTGGTGATGACGATGACGTTGATGTTGATGATGACGACGATGATGATGTTGATGGTGATGCTGATGATGGCGGTGATGCTGCTGTTGAATATTATGATGACAATGCCGATGGTGATGATGATGATGTTGCTGCTGATGGTAATGGCGAGGATGGTGTTGGCAACGTTGATGGTAATGGTGGTGGTGATGACCATGATGATCAGTATGATGGCTATGATGGCTGTGATGGTGACGATGGTGGTGGTGATGATGCTGGTGATGATGATGGTGATGATGATGAACAGGATGCTGATGATGATCATCACGTGAATTCTGGCATGATGATGGTAATGGCGATGAATACAAATATAGTAATGATGAAGATAAAGATGCTGCTGATGATGCTGCTGATGGTGGTGCACGATTATGATGATGATGACGATGATGATGATGATGATGATGATGATGTTGATGCCGAGGATGAAGAGGAGGAGGCGGATGCTGAGGAGTGGGATACTGAGGAGGGGGCACTAGGCTGAGGAGAGGGACGGAGAGGGAAGGAAGCGGAAGATGAATAGGAATGAATGTACGATGATGCCAAAAATCTTATGATAATGTTGAGGAGCAGGATATAGTGGTGGAAAAGAAGAATTGCAGGGGGAGAGAGATGAGGACGAACAATTTGAATGCAAGTGGAGGGGGAGGAAGGGCAGGGGAATAGCACAGGACGCCGGCGAGCCAGACCGGCAGACAGAAGGCGCTATGTAGTGCTCACCAGGCCTCGAAAGGAGAGGAGGAGGCTCTCGACGGGGAGGAGGAAGTGGCCTTGGGGGGCAGGAAGTGGAGTGCATCATCGCAAGGTCTGCCTCGTCGCGCTCCCTTTTTTCCTCCTCCTCCTCCTCCTCCTCCTCCTCCTCCGCCTCCCCGGAAGCCCCAAGGAACATGCCCTCGTTCAAAGCCCCCCACGTCGCTCTTCTTCCCCGTCCTGCCCCGAACCAGGACCCCTTAAGACCCCGTCCCGCCGACCCCCTCCTTAAAGCGCGCTCTGACCAGCTTCTCAAGGCGGATCGGCCCCCCAAGGGCCACCTAACGTGGGACGGTGGACGAGATTCAGGGCGGCGAGACACGTGCCATCTCCCCTCGCACCTCTCCGCCTGCTGCTTCGCGACCCATGTTCCTCGTTCCCCCTCAGCCGCCTACTCCTCGTCCTCGTTCTCCTCCTCTTTCTTCTCTTCTTCTCCTTCCTCTTCCTCCTCCTTCTGCTGCTTCTCCTCCTCTTCCTCCCCCTCCTGCTCATCCTCCTCCTCCTCCTGCTCCTCCTCCTCCTCATCATCATCCTCCTCCCCCTCCTCGTCCCCCCTCCGCCACCTACTCATCCACGCCATCGTTCTCGTCCTCGTTCTCGTCCTCGTCCTCATCGTCCTCGCCCGCGTCATCGGGTGGAGCAGAAACCTAGTTACCAAGACCGCGACTCTCTCTCCCTGGAGGCGGTCTGACCAGACTTTCGAAGGAACTGCCGCCGTGCCGAACAAGGACTCTCCAGAGCGAGCACGAGCATTGGTCCTTTCCCCCCCTCCCTCCCTTCCTCTCTCCCCTCCCTCTCCCCCCTCCCTCTTCCCTCCTTCCCTGCCTCTCCCCCCTTCCTCTCCCCCCCTCCCTCTTCCCTCCTGGGAGGGGGCCCCGCCTCATCGCGCTCCCAGAGCTGCCTCCGCAGGTCGTCCAGCAAGTGGTCCTGGGCGGCGACCGCGGCGCGGCGGGCCGCACGGCTCCATTCGTCGTCGTCGTCGTCATCGTCGCCGTCGTCGCCGCCGCCGCCGTCGACGTCGTCGGCGTCGTCGGCGTGGCCGTGGTCGCGGTAGCTCTCGTGGTCGTGGTCGACGGATGAGAAGGTTCTGTAACGTAGCCTTTCGATGGGAGGAAATCTCAACAGTCTCAGCAAGGCAACATCAATACGACAACCTGGCCCGCATCAGTACGACAAACTAGCCCCCGCCTTGGGGTACTTTCCTTCTCGGATGTTGGCCAGCGCAGTGTTAGCACTGGCGGGAAGCGTGGCCGAGTCTGAGGCATTACATAAGCCCTTGACTTTAGGGCCAAGACGCTGGGCACCGTATGACCCACACGCGGTGCAATCTATGTAGGGAGCATCTCGTTCCATAGCGTGCCCCGAGGACATGGACCATTCAAGCTCATGCTCCGCTCATCCTGGTCCAAACTCCGATCGCTATCAACCCACGGAAGCCTCATCACCTAAGGACTGATGCCGATGATGAGGATGAGGAGGAGGATGAGGAGGAAGAGGAGGAAGAGGAGAGGAAGGGGGAGGAAGAGGAGCAGGAGGAGGAGAAGGAGGAGAAGGAGGAGGAGGAAGAGGAGAGGAAGGATGAGGAGGAGGAGGAGGAGGAGGAGGAGGAGGAGGAGGATAATGAGGAGGAGGAGGAGGAGGAGGAGGAAGAGGAGGAGGAGCAGGAGGAGAAGTTGGAGGAGGACGAAGAGCAGGAACGAAGGAAGAGGAACAAAAAGGAGGAGGAGAACGGAGACGAGAAGGAAGAGCAGGAGGATGACGAGGAGGCACTTGCGCGGGCCCCCGGCCTGCGCGGACAAGGACGCGCACCGCGCGCCTGGAGCGCGTCCACCCTTCCGGCGCTGGCGGCGCCAGCGAACGCCGCAAGGAGGCGGCCCTCGCCTTGCAGACGGCCCGCGTGGCGGCGGCGTCCGCGGCAGCGCCGCGGGCGCCTCGCCGCGCGTGCCTCCGTGCGGCGCGGGCCTCTGTGCGGCGCCGCACGGGACCGCGCAGCCGCCGAGCCGCCGCCGCGCAGGGCGGCCGCTGCGGCCGAGACTCGGGTCGGGCGAAAGGGGGGGATAAGTGGCAAAGGGGGGGGGTTGAGAATCAGCTCACGTAGCTGATTTTCCCGGCGCCTCCCGGCGCCGGAGGCGGCTATGTATCGAGCAGTGGGCCCCTCGGTGAGGCCGAAACCAGCTGCATGCAGCAAATTTCGTGACCACCCCTTTCCCAATCCCCCCCTTTCGTCCGGCCCGCGGGACGCGCGCGGCGCTGGGCGGCTCCGCGCGGCCTCCCCCGCGGGCGCCCTGGGGGAGCAATGGACTGCCTGCCAGACCACCCCAACCCGACCCGAAGACACGAAGTTCTCCCGGCCGCGGCAATGAGTCGACACGTCACCATCGACGAAATATCCTGGTGCGCTTGGTGGCCTACGCCCTACGCCGACCCTGTCGCTGCACGTATCAAGTGCGCCTGGCAGTCGCGGCGTCGCGGTGGTGGACACCGCGAACATGACTAGGGAGCAGGAATACCATCCGTATAAACAAAAACAAAGAAAGACTCGAACACGGCAGGGCTGTCCAGTAAACGCCCAGGGCCGTTCAGTAAACGCCGAATCTCGGGGTCGGACTGGTTGTTTCCTCCATTGGATGACAGCCCAGAGCTCTGCAGCCGACGCCGTGCGAATCCAGGACGGAGGCATGGCCCAGACGCATGCCACGAAATGCCCGGGATCAGTCCGCCAGTGGCGCCAACGCTTGCTGTCCTCCTTCTCTTCCGTCTACTCCTCCTCCTCCTCCTCCTCCTCCTCCTCCTCCTCCTCCTCCTCCTCCTCCTCCTCCTCCCCCTCATTCTCCTCCTCCACCTCCTCCTCCTCTTCCTTCCCTCCTCCTCGTGGGCGCCGGCACCAGTCAGCCACCCGACCTCAACTTCATGGAACCGTCCCTACCATTAGGTAGGGCATGTCCCCCTACAGGCAGATTTGACGGGAAAATCAAATAGCCAAAAATGCTCTGAAAATTACGACAAAAAAACTAGAACCATCGTCCCCAGACTAGTTTTGTCTATTTTTGAGTTTTCCTCCTGTGGAGGGACAGGTCCGACTCAACCGTACCAGCGCCGGGTCGGCGCGAGTCACGCCTGGCCTGCCCGTGAACCCCTGGCGGCGACGGGCCCCCGACCCTCGGGCCGCGACGCCCAAGCCTTCGCGACTGGCCGCCGGCCGCGGGGAAGGGCGAGCCCGATCTGCCAGGGTGGTGGAGCGACGAGGGGGGGGGGGGGCACGGTTTCATCTGGGGCAGAAGGCGACCCGAGGAGGAGGAGGAGGAGGAGGAGGAGGAGGAGGAGGAGGTGGAGGAGGAGAAATGGGAAGGGAGATGGAGGGGGAGGGGGGGGAAGAGAAGCAGGAGGAGGGAGAAGGAGTCGGCGGAGGACGGGTCGCCTAAGCCCTTCGGCGAAACCCCCCAGGGGATGCGGGGCCCATTGGGGGCGTGCGTGCTCTTGGGCGGCGCGGGCGATCACGCCCCCATCGGCGATGATTGGGCGATTGGGAGCCGACGCGCCCCCCCGCACGTTGCCCCTGACTGGACGCTGCCGGACGTTACCCCTGACCACGTTGCCCTCCTCGCCTCCCTCCTCGGCGCCCGGCGGCCTGGTGGTCTTCGGGCCACAAACTCCGGCCTCCGGCGGCCGTCCGGCACGCTCTCGGCCAGGCGCAGCTGCTGGAGAGCATCCCGAGGCTGGAGGGGGAGGAGGAGGAGGAGGAGGAGGAGGAGGAGGAGGAGGAGGACTGCCGAGATCTGACGAGAGCGCCCGAACACCTCGGACCCCGAGCCTGCCCCCCCCTCTCCCCCCCTGAGCCTATCGGCCCCCCTGCCTCCTCCTCCTCCTCCTCCTCCTCCTCCTCCCCCTTCTCCTCCTCCTCCTCCTCCGCCTCCTCCGCCTCCTCCGTCTCCTCCGCCTCCTCCGCCTCCTCCTCCTCTTTCTCCTCTTCATCCTCATCCCTCCTCCTCCTCCTCCGCGTCCTCATCCTCATCATCCCTCCTCCTCCTCCTCCTCCTCCTCCTCCTCGCGCTCCGTCGCAGGGCCACTCCTGTGTGTACACGTCGGCCGGAAAAAGGAAGAAGTAAAAACATGGAGTGGGCAGGCGGATGAGATGGATTGGGTCCGGGCCCTCCCAGATAATCACAAAGCACAGCAAACGCATGCCGACTCTTGAAGTAGGAAGGCGCTTGAATTGTGTTGCTCCCATCGTACTTAAGGAGCACATCCCATAAATAATTTCGAGCACCTGGAGAAGTGTCGAACAAGTGTCGAAACAGTGTCGAAACAATGTCGACTGAGTATATCCCAGGGCCCGACACGTGAAGACCCTAAGAGATTCGGGTCTTTTCTGGTGCTCGAATTATTTCTGGTGGCCCAAGCTAAAATAGGTCAAAACACGACAGTCCCAGCCACCCTTGTTCTGAGAACATTTCGCGCAGACCACAACATGTTTTTAGAGCATCCTTTGATAGGCCTACAGGCGACCAGGACGCTTCGCCACTGCTTGGGAATAGACTAACAAAACACAGCAACATCATGCCGACTCTTGAAGCAGGAAGGCGCTTGACATAGATTGGGATCTGGGGCTGCCCCCCACAACAACTGCTTTCAACGACCGATGGGCGCTCGAGCGCAGCTGCTGGAGGAGGAGGAGGAGGAGGAGGAGGAGGAGAATGAAGGAGGCGGAGAAAGAGGAGGAAGAGGATGGTGCGGAGGCGGAGGAGGAGGAGGAGGAGGGGGGGGAGGAGGAGGAGGGGGAGGAGGAGGAGGAGGAGGAGGGAGGAGGAGGAGGAGGAGGAGGAGGAGGAGGAGGAGGAGGAGTGGGGGCAGGAGTGGACGTACCCTGAAGGCGGACTCCCGATGACCGCACTAGACGCGAAGCGCCAAACGCGCAGCACCAGCAATCCGCTCGGCTTCTGTAAAGGTGAGGTGTGCCTCAGGAGGCACGGTATCTTTGGCTTTGTGGTAGATATGAAACGCTAAGGCCGTTGCCTCTAGCGTCTGGGCTCGACTCAGCTCACAGTCTTCCGTGCCATACTCCGAGGGACTCCCGAGGCCAAGCCAAAGCAGGGGCTCCACAGGAAAGACAAGCCGCATCCAGCTCATGGCGACGTGGTGCCTCATTCGAAGGCAGCGGAAGTAGTGGCTGATGCTGTCAGAGCCTCCGCATCCAAAAATGCAGTCCCGAGAGTGACGCGAGACGTGCATCCGACACGAGGTGGTCCATCCTCCAGCCAAGGATTTCCACGCAGCCCACCTCCACGAGGGGCGGACTGAGGCAAGCTCGGCACGCAGCAAGCACCAACGAGCTTCGAGATCGGGCGGGGGTGGGATATCCCAGGCTCTCAGACGGCGGCTGAGCGTTAGGTGAAAGCGCTCGGGGTACAAGGCCTGCGACACAGCCGAACCGACAACGCGCTGGATTTTCGGTTTGCGCTGGTCAGCCTCAGCCGCTCTCGTCTCAGCTCGTCCCTCCGCTTTAGCCTTCTCCCAAGCTCTCAGAGAAAGGGGGTGAGCGGAGCGAAGCGAGGAGTCACGACGCCTGACGACGACCGACGGGGAAGAGGTGAGGAGGGAGTGAAAGAACTGGACGATGGATTCCGCCCGCCTCCAGCACGGCGCGCACCATGCTCCCGACGCCCATCGCTGGGCAGAGAGGGCTGGGGTGCCGCAGGCGGCGTCGGCGGCCTGCTGGAGCGCCTCGTAGGCGTCCCGCCAGTCCGAGACCGTGAACGACGCCATTCTCCAGGCTGATGCTAAGCCCAGGGCGATGAGCGATCGGGGCGACGACCCAATCCACGAGGCAGAAAGCAAATCGGCGAGGGAGAAGGAGTTAGGAGGGAGACGGAGCAACTTGTGCAGGGCAAGACCCTCACGCGCGATGGCACTGGGAGACATGGGGAAGAATTGAGCGAGATAGACGAGAGTGCTGACCGCATACATGTTATATTGGAAGATCGATAGCGCAGCAGCAGCACGTGAGGATGGCAACTCAATAGTGCGGTGCCACCATTTCTGTGCCGCTTGATGCCACTGGAGTCCGAGATCCCCCTCAGGCCCAAACTGAACCCCCAGGTACGCCGTCGATCCCTGGATATCGAACTCCTGGCACTCAGGCAATTCACGGACGAGCCAACTTCGGATGCTATGTGCGAGCTCCTGAGTGCATGGGGCCCACAACGGCACGATGCAGCATTTGGCAGGCTGGAGACGCAAGAACGCGTGCTCAGCAACATCATTAAAGTGAGGCATTATGGCTTTCAAAGTGCACAATTGTGGGAGCACTGTGCCTACATCATCAGCGCAACCACCTACCTGGCCTGGGATCTGACTCTGCTCTGCGGGGTGTTCGACAGCCTGGGAGAGCAAACGAATCACGGGATCGAAAATGAGCGCCCAGACAGACCCCGAGAGAGGGCATCCCTGGAGGACGCCACTGCAGAGATGGAAGAGAAAGTGCAGTTCACCTCCGAACCGCCCGAAGCCCCTAGGGCAGAAGTAGAGCGAGTGGAGAAGGTTGAGATACCCTTGGGGGACTCCGTGACGGTGGAGAATCTCGAACAACCACTGGTGCCCCACAGAGGGGAACGCAGCAGCAATATCAAAAGACACAAAGCATGGCCATAGCTGTGCAGCATTTTCTGACACGCTGAAAGCTCTGGCGGAGGCGTCCATAAAGATGATGTTGCGAGCGAAATTCCTTCCAGTCACAAAGCCTCTCTGATTAGGGTGCACTTTTTTGGCAACCGCTTGGCGCAGCACAAAGTTCGAGGCACTGGCGATGATTTTGGTATCAGTGTTGCGCAGCGACAGAGGGCGCACCTTGCTGGCTTGCCTAACACAGTCGAAGTGATCTTCTGGCAACGACCCCTTCGGCAAGAAGGCGAAAACATAATCATTTAGATCGTGTGGCACATAATCTCCACGAAAAAGGTGAAGGGCAAGATCATGCAAGACATCCAGCTGCTCGGGGATCGCAGCCCACGCGCGGTAAGTGAACCCATCAGGCCCTGGGGCAGAGATACGAGCGCGAAGCATGGCCTTCTCGAGGCCCGCACGCGACGGCACGGGGGGACCAGCGAGGCCGGAGCCATCCATGGGGCAACCGAGGCGGTCCACGTAAGCGCGGAGCTTGACAGGGTCCACCACCTTGGCCTTAAACACATCCCCCCAGTGGCTGGAGAGCGCAGCGCGGATATCTTCTGCAGAACGCGCCACTGGTGAAGCGTCGGTGGGTGGCGAAGCTGGTGCAAGCGTCTCTGGACGCACGCCCTGCAGGACGAGCGAGCTGCCTTTCGGGCGCCAGAGTCGGGCCTTACGCTGTAGCGAACGCTGGAGCCGACGCGCAGCGTCAGCCGAGAGACGATCACCTGACGCGGCAGCTTGCTGAGCTAAGGCGGCAGCTTGGGATTGGCGGCGTTCGAGCGCGGCAGCGCTGGTGTCGCGAAAAAGGGCACTAAAGTTATCAGGCTCAAGAAGAGTGAGAGAGGTGGCCGAGAGGGAGAGGAAGCGAGCCCCAAGAAGCGTGGTGGCCTGCAGGGTAGCCCCGACCCGAAGATCCTGCCTCCAAATGGCCCTCGCGATGGCTCAAGGTGACCAAACGGGCCTCCAAGGCATTAGGGTCCTGTGAGACTAACGGGAGGCCCTGGAGCTCATTACGGGTCTCACGGGCGGCTTCCCACATGTATTGCTTCGCTTCATATATCGCCAGCGCACATCCGCTGGCACATGCGATATGTCTACAGCAGAGACCAGGGCGGCAAGTTTCGCGCGATAGCGCGGATCTTGGAAAATAAAGTCAGGGATACGCAGCTCATTATGCTGACCCGTGCCACGATTCTGACACGAAAGCGAAACCAACGCGTGATCGCTCAAACGAGCGTCGGACATTTGGCTTGGGTCAACATGAACTTCCATCACCGCGTCAATCTCAAGCATGTATTCCGAGGGAATCCCCAAGAAGACACGATCAAGAGTGTTCGCTGTGAAATGCTGGCGGTTAAATCTAGTCGGAAGATCTGTGCATACCTCCGCGGCTGCATGCATGAGCGGTCTCCAGAAACCTTCCAGAGGAGCCATATGCGTATCGACAGCTAGACGGGCACTGCAAGGCTCAGGATTCTGATAGCTCACATGGGGCGCCCGCAGCAATGTTGAAGCCCCCCAGCGCGACGAAGGTCCTCTGCAGCGGCTCCCCCTTGCACCGCGCCAGGGACTGCTGCCATACTTCTCGAATGTGAGGGAGCGTGTGAGGTTCCAACTCATAATTGTGGACATTCATGATCGTCATTGCAAACTTTGTCTTGGGATTGAGGATGCTGACAAGTTGAACGCGCCCATCAGCAAGAACTTCAGGAGTGATAATTGGCTGATCTTCGAAGGGTACCGATTGCGCAATCATCCGAGGAGGTAGAGGAACCAGTATGGCAACACCACCCGCGCCAGGGCAGCCAGTGCTGGAGTGAATGAGCTGATAGTCGAAGGGAGTGGCATTGAGCAGCGTACGAAGCAACTCGGTCGTGCCATGCGTCTCTTGGAAAAGGATGACAGCGCGATCTTTCATGTGCGGGAACAGTCTTTGAAATTTACGACGACGACGCCGATGGTCAAGACAAGCGAGCCCACGAGCGTTCCACGATATGATGCGACCTCCATGTCGCACAGGTGCCCATTCCCATGGGCACCAGCGGCTGTTAAAGACTCCATCCATCGCCAGTGGTGTCCACCGTGTTGGCCAGGTGCTTGAAGGCCTTGACGATGGCAGACTTGTCAATGGTCTACTTCTCAACCGTGGGGCCATGCCAGATGAACTTCGTGGGATCATCAGCACCAGCAACCTCGAGGACCACGACGGGGGCGCGGTCCACCACGACCACGCCCTTGGTCCTCTGGCACGAGATGTCCAGCTGAGGGTGTCGCTCAGCCAGCACGCGCTGTGCCTTCTTCGCGTGGAGCTCCAATCGTACTTGGCGAGGGGCCTTATCAGGACTGATGTAGATCGGGGTCTGCGCTCCCTGGGTGTTCTGCGCCACGAAGTTGCGCCAGCCAGCCGAGGTCCTGAGACCTTGTGCCAACGCCAGCGCCCGTGGTCGAGCAACCTCATCACCGCCGATCGTGCGCAGGAAGAACTTGCGCGAGGGGACCTGCCCGTCGAGCTCGACCTGGTCCATGGCGAGGCCCGACTCGGTGACCCATGCCTGGACGGCCCTGCGCACCTCCATCGGCGCGATGGCCGACGGTGCACCGATCGTGAAGAGGGTCGGCTCCGCCTGCCTCTCCCACTGAGCCAACTTCGCCGTGTCGAACGCGGAGGCCTGGGACTCAGCCATCGCGAGCGTCCTCTCCATGCGCGCAACAGTGTCACGAATCTTGTCCTGCTCGCGCTCTTGGGCGTCCTGTCGACGCTGAATGTCGGCGATGGTGTGGCTGTGCTGGTCGACCCTCGCGTTGGTGGCGAGAATCTGCGTGAAGCACATCCGCATGCTCGACTGGAAGTCGTCCTGAGCCTTCTTGAGCGTCTCATTGCAGACAGCCTGCAGCTTGGTGGAAGCAGCATCAATCTGCGTATTGAAGAGGTCCTGCATTCTCTTATCAAACTCATCAGTCGTAGGGATGCGTCCATCCCATGGGTCTCCACCTCCCTCATGCCATGGGTCCCTGGGACCACCGCTGGGGGGGCCTGCAGCACGGCCTCGCTGGGAGGCGGCGGCGGCGTCACTGGCGAGGCCAGGCGCGGCGGCACTGCTGCTAGCCCCCAAGGCGGCAGCTCCAGCTGTTGGAGGAAGCTCACCAGCAGCACGGGCAACTGCTCGAACCTCCTGCGATGGCAGCGTCGGCGCGAGGTGAAGCGCCGCTGCCAGCGCTGCATCACCCACTGGCTCCTGCGACGGGAAGGTGGGCATGGCGTCGAGCTGTGCAAGGGTGGCCGCCGCAGCCTCCCTGCGCGAGCGACGCTTGCGACGCGCCCGCTCTGCACTCGCACTGCCATGCCGAGGGGCGGACTTCGAAGCACGCTGCCTGCCGTCCAAGGAGTCCTCCGACGCCGAGCTGCCGTCGTCGAGGTGGTGCACCTCAGGTCCGCTGCCACGGGCTGCCATGGCTGCGCGGCGGAAGCAGCAGGCCCAGGGAAGGGCAGCCCTGGGCTGCAAACAGAAGATGTAAGAAGTAGGGCCAGAGGCCCGAGTGAAAGCACGATAGTGTAGCAAGAGAGGCTCAATTTGTGCCGTGGGGACCGGGTGTGGGCAGCCTGGACCAACTCCACCCCTCGCCCCAACGACATCTTGAGCCAAAATGGCTACGGAGGAGTGGGGGCAGGAGGAGGAGGAGGAGGCGGAGGAGGAGGAGGAGGGGGAGCAGGAGGAGGAGGAAGAGGAGAAGGAGAAAGAGGAGAAGGGAGAAGAGGAGGAGGAGAACGAGGAGGAGTAGGCGGCCGATGGGTACTCGAGCACTGCCCCCCGACGGCCAGGCGGCGGGCCGCGGCGCCAGCCGCGCGCGGCGGGCCTGGCCTGGGGCTGCGTGCGCCGGCGGAGGTCCGGCGGCAGCCTGGACGCGACGCCGTGCAGCGCGGCCTCTCGGCGCTCGTCGTCGTCGTCGTCGTCGTCGTTTTCGTCGTCGTCGTCGTCGTCGTTATCGTCCTCGTCGAATCATCGTCGTCGTCGTCCCTCGGTCGTCATCGTCGTCGTCGTCGACGTCGTCGTCGTCGTCGCTCGGTCGTCGTCGTCGTTCGGTCGTCGTCGTTGACGCTCGGTCGTCATCGAACGGTCGTCGCTCCGTCGTCGCTCGATCGTCGGCGTCGTCGTCGTCGTCGCCGCTCGGTCGTCATCGAACAGTCGTCGCTCGGTCGTCGCTCGGTCGTCGTCGTCGTCGTCGTCGTCGTCGTCGTCGTCGTCGTCGTCGTCGTCGGCGTCGTCGTCGCTCGGTCGTCGTCGCTCGGACGTCGTCGACGTTGCTCGGTCGTCGTCGAATCATCGTCGCCATCGCTCGGTCGTCGTCGTCGTCGCGTGGTCGTCGTCACCGTGACCGTCGTCGGGGAGGGGGGAAGGGGGAGGAGCAGGACGAAGGGCAGAATGGGGGGGACGAGGAGGAGGGTAGAGGGACTCTGTAGGGGAGCGGAGGGAGCGGGAGGAGGGAGGAGAGACGGGGAGGAAGACGGGCAGGAGGAGAAAGGGGAACGGGCTCGGAGGAGACGGAGGAGGAAGTGGAGCATGTGGCGGAGGAGGAGGAAGGATACTCTCGCCCTTGTGGGCTCCACCGCTTTTTCGCACCTCCCGCTGGGAGCAACACTGAGAAAACATCGTGCGTCCACAAGTCGCATGTCCTGCAGTGTTCATTCCACCAGGTGGCTGCTGGAAGACGCGATGGAGCTCGCTCGCCTTCGTCGGGGTAGAGGAAAAAGAGGGGGGAGAAGGGGGAGAAGAACCCGGGATGGGGAAGGCGACCAGAGGCGGAGGTTGACGACCAGTAAGCTTAAGTCGGGCGTGCCTCCCTACAGGCGGATTCTGGCAGAAAGATTTAAAAATATCCCCCCAACAAATATCCCAAACATGTTCAAGACTGGTAGAACAAATCGTCCCCGGACAATTGTTGTTCAATGTTCGAACATTCCTATTGTAGAGGGACATGCCTGGCTTAATGCTTGGGCGCCCGAGTCATCCGGGGTAGCTCGTGCCCAGGGTAGCGCGGGTTCGGATTTCCGAAAAACGAACCCGAGTTAGCCCTGACCCGAGTTGCCCCTGATGATTTGGGGCTCTGGGCGCCCGGGTCATCCAGGGTAGCTCGGGCCCGGGGGTAACTCGGGTTCGGATTCCCGAAAAATGAGTCCGAGTTAGCCCTGACCCGAATTGCCCCTGATGATTTGGGGCTCTGGACGCCCGAATCATCCGGAGAAACTCGGGCCTGGGGTAACTCGGGTTCGGATTCCCGAAAAACGAGCCCGAGTTAGCCCTGACCCGAGTTGCCCCTGATGATTTGGGGCTCTGGACGCCCGAGTCATCCAGGGTAGCTCGGGCCTGGGGTGACGCGGGTTTGGATTCCCGAATAACGAGCCCGAGTTATCCGGAGTAGCTCGGGCCCAAGGGTGACGCGGGTTCGGATTGCCGGAAAACAAGCCCGAGTGAGCCCTGACCCGAATTATCCCCCTGATGATTTGGAGCTCTGAATTGCGCTTGAGTTTGAGCAGGAGCAGTTTGAACAGGAGCAGCATGAGTATCGCGTAACCGATCCCCCTCCCCAGCGGCGTGGCGGCGTGGCCCAACAAGCCGAGTTACCCCTCTAGATGGGGATATAGGTCATTCCCTTCAGGTTTCGAGGGGTATATCCCAAGTGGGGTGGTAACTTGGTGGGGGTCTCGAAGGGGATGGGGATGGGGATGGGGATGGGGGTCGTTTAAACGATACTGACAGCAAGAGCAGCACCAGGAGCAGTTTCGACTCTGGGATGCGGCGGGGTCTGAGCAGGCGCAGCAGGAGGGGAGGGAAACGGTCCCTCATGAAAATTGCCACGTGTTGAGCAGGGACCAACCGTCCCTGCATTCTTATAGGCCTACCACAACATGTTCTTAGAACGCAAACATAGTTTCAATGACAAAAGCAATGTTTTTCGATTATAAACCCGATGTGTTAACACAAAACAGTCCCAGCCAGAAATGTTCTCAGGACATGTCGTGGAAATCACAAAGAGTGCGTATAACAGTGTTTGGTAGGCCTGTAGGCACGCTAGGGCGCTTCGCCACTGCTTGAACCTGATGAATCCAACGCTCCGCTGGTGGCAGACGACCGGCCAAGAACTGGGCGCACGTGCCGAGGCCGCCGCGGGCAGCACTGCGGCGATCCGTGGCCGAATCAAATCCTTCTGACACTACTTGGCGGGCGGGAAGTAGCGGGTTTTGCGCACGATGGCAAGGTCAGGATCGAGCCCGTGCGCTGGAAAGCGAGCCCATGAAGGACGCAGGCTGTGGCACTCGGCAGCGTGCTATACACGCGCGCGTCAGAATTTCAGGAATCACCAGACAGCTCGCCGCTTGGGCCCCACCGCCTGCCCAAACGGCGAACGTAAATCGGGCGTAGCTCCGCACGCAATCGAATCCCGAATGCCCACGCTTCGTCCTCGTACTGCTCGTATTCCTCCCCGTCCTCCTCCCCGTCCTGGTCGTCGTTGTCCTCCTCCTCGTCCTCCTCCTCCTCCTCATCGTCCTCGTCTTCCCCGTCTTCCTCCTGCTCCAGCTCCTCCTCGTCGTCCTAGTCTTTGACCTCGTTTTCGTTTCTCCTCTTGCTCTTCCTGCTCATCCTCCTTCTCCTATCGGTGGCGCCATAGCCGTTCCGGGGCCCAAATCCGGGCTCTTGCTAACGCTAACTTCGGAACGGCCTGCGTTAGCGAGCCAATTGGCTTGCGGCGCTGTCTCTCACGGCTCCCGGCCTGCGATGGATGCCGGCTGCGGGGCTGACATGCCTTTGGTGCCTGTGCTGCAGCCTCCTTGGCATAGCGGTCAGCGTGATTGGCGCAAGGGCCGCAAGGTCTTCCGCAAGACCGGTGACACTTACACGGTGCGCTCCTGCGGCCACTGGACGTGGGACCACTTGCTCGCGAAGCGTGGCGGGCGGTGCGGGCGCTGCAGCGCGTAGCTTGTGCCCCCTACGCCGGCTGCTGTGGATGCCAATATTGGTCATGGGCATCGCAAGCCTGGTGCTAATAGAGGCCTTTCCTCTGAGACGGTGGCCCAGCTCCGCGAGATGGCCTCAAAGCTCCCGGAAGAAGCGGCGCGGGCGGTGTCGGCCCATTACGGCTTGGCTTTGCAGGCCACCGCCAACCCGCCCGAGCTGCCAGAGAGCGAGAACCTGCGGGCGGAGGCTGCCAAGCGTACGGCGTCGCGGCAGGTCGGGAAGGCCCTGGACGCCCGCAATCGCTTGCAGCAACAGATCATTGACGCGGAGAAGCGGTGAGGCTGTGGCGCCCGAGATGCAAGCGAACGAGGCGGTGGCTGCTGCTGCTAAGCGCATCTCTGCTCGTGTTCTGCCTCCTGAGCCGGTCAAAACCGTGGTCCACTTTGACGCGCTGCTGCGGGACGGCGGCAAGGCCATCACCCTGGAGCTCGGCCAGGAATTGGACCTCTCTGGACCTGAATTCTCCGAGGACGACCGCAACAGCTCCGCGAAGTCCAAGACTGACATGCTGGATCAGGCCTCCCAGCTCATCACTGCGTCCCTGGCTGGTGTCGCGGACAAGGCGAAGGAACATAAGGAGGAATACGCCAAACCGGCTTGGCGACCTCAAGAAGAAGCGCAAGAAGGAGGACGGCGACCCTCAGGCGGTGCGCTCTTCCGCGCTGGCGAGCGCCGGGGCGGCTTCGTCCAGCGCCCCAGGAGGAGGTGGTGCTCAACCTGAGGCGCAGGAGGATCCCGAACGTGCAGCTTTTAAGGCAGCAGCGCAGGCACGCGTTGCTGCCGCCAAGGCTGAGGCTGAGACCGCCCTGGGCGCAGCCGGGGACGCAGGCACGCCGCCTTCCTAGCTCTCCTGGCCCCCCTCCCTCCTGCTCGGCCTCTCCTGCGGCCGTTCTGCAATCTAAGACTCCGAACCCAAGTCTGCGAATGATTGTTGCCAACATCCCTCTGGGGGCCTTCAGCTAGGCGCTGGTTGGCAGAGACCTCGGCAGACATAGTTTTGTTTTCGGAGCATCGGCAGATCGGTAGCGATTTTGATTCGATGGTCAAGTTGTTGCATCGTTCTAGATGGAGGGTGGTTGCCAGTACCGCCGACACAACATCAGCGTTTTCCGGTAGCGCTGGAGTGTTGATTATTAGTTGATCCCATTTGCAATTGAGCA